AATCTGTACCTGATTTGTATCTCCAACTTTATAGGGATTTACTCTTTGTACAGTGTATAAATACTCATGGAAGCTTAATGAATGATTATTAAAAACCTTCCATTATACCTTGGGTCAAACATGGTATCAGAGCCTTCTTAAAACTCCTAGAGTCGTTTTTTTTTCTTTCGGTTTCTATTTTTTAAGTTGATTGTCAATGGCTTCTTCTCCTACATTACCTTCTCCTATTCCCTCAATTCACAACCATGTGACAATCAAGTTAACCTCTACAAATTATTTGCTGTGGAAAACTCAAATTGTTCCCCTTCTTCATGGGCAACAGCTTTTTCATCATGTTGATGGCACTGCCTCTCCTCCACCCAAACTAATTGATGATGTTCCCAACCCAGCCTATTCCGCCTGGTTTCTCAAGGATCAGACCGTTCTTGGTTGGATCCTTAGCTCTCTGTCTGAATCTGTCCTTTCTCAGGTGGTTGGTGTTGTTACGGCTCGCGAAGCTTGGGTTCGTCTAAAGACCCAATATGCCTCTGGTTCCAAAACCCAGATTCGCACTCTTAAGGCTGCTCTGCATGCCCTCACCAAAGGATCTGACACTATTCTGGTGTATATGAGCCGTGCCAAACAGCTTTATGATCAATTACTGGCGCTTGATGCTGCAATTTCTGAAGATGATCTAATTGATCACATCCTTCGAGGGCTTGGTACGGATTACCGTCCATTTACCCGTAACATCGAAGCTCGGCTTGCTTCCATCTCTTATGATGATTTACTAGGCTTATTACTTTCTGAAGAATTACAACTTCAGGCAGCAAATACTGTAACTCCTGCTATTGCTCACTTTAGCAATGTTTCGGCCCGTTTTGGTAGTTCCTCCCGTGGCCGCGGTCGAGGTGGCCGGCGAGGTGGTCAATCAACCAATTCTGGTAGAGGTACATCTTCTAATAATTTTACACCTGTTTGCTATAACTGTGGTGGCCAAGGTCATACATCCAACATTTGTCCTAGTCCAAAGTATAATCGGAACCAACCCAAGCCAGCCAGCAACTTTGCAGCCTCCCCTACTTCGTCTCCTCAGCCATGGATCATGGATAGTGGAACGACCCATCACTTAACGTCAGAACTGGACAATCTTGCTCTTCATTCCGAGTATTCTGGAACTGATGAAGTCACTCTTACCAATGGTAAAACTCTTCCAATCTCTCACTCTGGGTCTGCTTCTATTTTCTTGAATTCTCGAAATTTTACTCTTAATAATATTTTGCGTGTTCCTACTGCTAATTCCAATCTTATTTCTGTTCGTCAGTTTGCTTTAACTAATAATGTTTCTCTTGAATTTTTTGCTCATTATTTTGTGATTAAGGACCTTCGGTCGCACCAAATACTCCACAAAGGGCCAGTTAAGGATGGGTTGTACGTCTTGGCTTCTGCAGCTGTGTCTTCTCCAGCTTGTCATTCTATTTCGTTGTCAACATGGCATGCTAGGCTTGGCCATGCTTGCTCTAGAACTGTGTCTAGGATTTTGTCTGGAAATAAGTTGTTTTTCAATAAATTGAATAAATCTTCTATGTGTGAAACTTGTGCTGTTAGTAAAACGCATAAATTACCATTTGAGAATTCTTCTTTTGTCGCTTCAGAACCATTAGAATTAGTGTGTTCAGATTTATGGGGTCCAGCCCCTATTACTTCAACTGATGGGTGTTTTTATTACGTTCTCTTCTTTGATCACTTTACTAAGTATTCTTGGATTTATTTTGTCAAGAAAAAGTCTGATGTATACTCTTGCTTCATCAAATTTCGTTCCATTGTTGAAAAATTTTTTGGCAAACCTATTAAACAATTCCAATCTGATTGGGGAGGGGAGTTTCAAGCTCTTCGTAATTATCTGGCGGAAAATGGTATAATTCAGCGCAGTTCGTGTCCGTACACACCAGAACAAAACGGTTGTGCGGAACGGAAACACAGACATATTTCAGAAACTGGGAGAGCTTATTTAATACATGCTTCTTTACCACCTAAATATTGGGATCATGCTTTCGCCTCTGCAGTTTATACTATTAATCGATTACCCACTCCTCTTCTAAATCATGTCTCGCCGTATCAAAAGGTTTTTGGTCGTCTGCCTGACTATAAATTCTTTCGTGTTTTTGGATGTTCCTGTTATCCTTGGATTAAACCTTATACTACAAATAAACTTCAGCCTCGGTCCACAAAATGCGTCTTTCTTGGGTATAGTTTACTCCATAAGGGATACAAGTGTTTATCTTTGTCTACTAATAAATTGTTTTACTCGCGTCATGTTTTGTTTGATGAGCAGGATTTCCCATTCAAGCAAAGTGATGGCACCTCCTCTATCCTCGGTTCGCCACCAGCACTTCCTCTCTTACCTCCATTACAAAAACTGGTCCCTCAACCACCCTCTATACCACAACCTGCTGTGCCGGTTCCACCCTTACTTCTTCCAAACATTAATTCTAATTCTGGCTTTCCTATTCCTGTGACACCGCCACACATTAATTCCCCTACCATGCCTACTACTATCTCTGCCGCAGACAATTCGACTGTTCCTCTTCCTCCTGCTCCAATTTGTGCCGAAACCCAACCACCAGCAACCTCACATCGACATCCTATGGTAACCAGATCCCAGACTGGCCGTTTAAAGCCAAAAGTTTATCAGGCAATTGTTCCTATTGAAGCTCCATCATCCTATACTGAAGCTGCGAAACATTCTGTCTGGAGGGAGGCCATGTCTGCCGAAATTGATGCGTTGATGTCCAATGGGACATGGGATCTTGTGCCACGAACACAGGCTCGCAATGTTATTGGTTGCAAGTGGGTTTATCGAGTTAAAACAAAAGCTGATGGTACTATTGACCGCTACAAAGCCCGGTTGGTTGCAAAAGGATTCCACCAACGTCCAGGCCTTGACTACATCGAAACCTTCAGTCCAGTCATTAAACCAGCCACGGTTCGCTTGGTTTTATCTATTGCTATCCATAATCATTGGAGCATTCGTCAGTTAGATGTCTCCAATGCGTTCTTGCATGGAACTCTAGATGAAATGGTATTCATGGAACAACCTCAAGGATTTGTGGATAGAGCAAAATCTGATTATGTTTGTGCACTAAAAAAGTCTCTGTACGGCCTCAAACAAGCCCCTCGGGCTTGGTATTTTTGTCTTTCAAAGGCTCTTCAGGACATTGGTTTCCAAGGTTCTAAGGCGGACAGCAGCTTGTTCATATATTCCCATAATGCTGCCATTGCTTACTGTTTGGTGTATGTAGATGATTTAATCATCACTGGTTCCAGTTCAGTGCTTCTCCGCCGGTTAATTGATCAACTTAGTTCAAGAGTAGCACTTAAAGATCTTGGTAAACTTCATTATTTTCTCGGGGTAGAGGCCACTTTTTCCCCTGACGGTTTGCATCTTTCACAGGCAAAATATATTCAGGAACTCTTACGAAAAACTAATATGCATGAAGCAACTGCTGTTGCCACGCCAGCCACTCCTCAACTTAATCTGTACCAACACAGTGGCAATTCCTTCGAAGATCCTACTTTATATCGGCAAACTGTCGGTATGTTGCAGTATTTAGCTTTAACGAGACCTGACATCACAATGGCAGTGAACAAAATGTCCCAATTCATGCATTCTCCTTCAGTTTCCCACTGGCAAGCGGTTAAACGTATTTTGCGTTATTTATGTGGGACAATTTCGCATGGATTGCTCATTCGGCCTTCGTCTCATACTCACTTGGTTGCCTATAGTGATGCTGACTGGGGCGGGGACCAACATGATCGAAAGAGTACCTCCGCTTATGCAGTCTTTCACGGTGAGAACCTGGTCTCATGGTGTTCCAAGAAGCAGAACACAGTGGCTCGTTCCAGTACGGACTCTGAATACCGAGCTCTCGCCACTGCTGCATCAGAGTTGTATTGGTTGCGTGGTCTGCTCACTGAACTTCAGCAGACCCCAGCCATTCCTCCTCGCCTCTGGTGTGACAACGTGTCTGCTACTTATTTGGCTGCGAATCCTGTCTTCCACTCCCGATCCAAGCACCTTGAACTTGATTTCCACTTCGTCAGAGATCAAGTTCGTCATAAGCAACTTCAAGTGTCCTATATTTCAACGTTGGATCAGCTCGCGGATTTGTTGACCAAGCCTCTGTCGAAGACAAGATTTCTTGAGCTTAAGTTCAAACTGAAGGTTGTTCCCCCCCCCCCCTTCCGTTTGCGGGGAGGTGATAGTGTAAAGTCTTGACTCATTTCTTGTTGAACTATTCCATAGGTTCTGTTATAGTACTTTTTGAATTATATAATCTGTACCTGATTTGTATCTCCAACTTTATAGGGATTTACTCTTTGTACAGTGTATAAATACTCATGGAAGCTTAATGAATGATTATTAAAAACCTTCCATTATACCTTGGGTCAAACAATAACTTCCACACAAATTAAGAAAATGTAATTAATATTGTTAAAATATAGTAATTTTGTTTAATTTTTTTGCTAATTTTTTGCTTATTTCGATAAATAATAAGCATATTATATACTGATAAAATAGTAGTAGTGTAATTAATGATAAATAGCATATTATATAAAAATAAAATAGAAAAATAAAATCAATAAAGCGTTGATTGAAGCGATGAATTCGCTCCGTCCGCAGGTTTAGAATATAAATTTGATAATCGGACCGCCTTCTTTTGTAAAAGGCTAAAAAGGGCAAAAAAAAAGTGAAAAACAGGAGGACACGAGGCATGTACTATGGGCATGTAGGATTTGTTTGATATTATCACCGTACCAATAATAATAATATTACTTAAAGACAGAAGCTACAAACGACCTAAGTAGGGGTACTTTTGGTACGGACGAGGAAAAGACAAGTCAGAGCTTTATTATTTATTCAAACATAAGTGGTGTTTTTGTAATTGCAGCATCATCAACAGCCAGTAGGACTCTCCTTCACTGCCCATCATCTTCTTGACAATTGCATGTGACCCACCTCACAAATAATGGAACCTCCATCTCTGCTCTGCTATAATTAACATTAAAAAAAGAACAAGAAAATATAGTATTATAGAAGATGTTGTATTTTCTTTTTCTTTTTTCTGTAAGTTGATGCCCCTTCCTACTATACAAGACAGTTAACAAAAGATTATAGTGAACTGTAGAATAAATTATGTCAGATTCTTGTATCTTTTGCAAAAGAATACAACTAAAAGTGGCAAGATTAAATGAACATTCTTAATCTGTTTCTAACAACAACCCATGTTCTTCTTTCTTGCTTATGTTGATAAACTCCATCTTCTTCAAAAACTTGCCTTTTTCTTGCATTCTTTGGCTTTGAGCTAGCACCACTGCTTTCTTGCAATCTTTTTATTGTTATTGGTGGTGTTGTTTGTGCCTCTTCTATTTCTTGTATAATTCTTTTTGGTTCAGATCTGAAAATTAATTGGAGAGTGTTGATTGGAAGTGATAGGATGATTCAAGAAAGGGCTGCAGATGGGTTTCTTGGTTCATAGCTTTCTTGCCTCTGGAAATGAGAGTTCAATTGCCAATATTGATTTTTTGAAGGTAATTTAATATTTCTTTTTATGAGAATTCTTGATTAAATTGCTATACGGGAGTTAGGTGATTTAATTTAGAGTAGAGATTTTCGTTTATTTTATTAGGCACTGTTTATTCTTGAATTTTGATTGGTTCTGGTTACCCTATTTGATTTTGGCATTTCTCTTAACGAAATACATATATATAGAATAGAAGAGTCTCTTCTGGCTTTTGAGGGAAAGTGGTAATGGAGAAGATTCAGAAGGGAGAGCTATTGGGGATTCTATTGCTGGTGATAATATTCATTTCAGTTAGCAGTGGAGAAGCTGAGTCTAAATCATTTTTTATAAATTGTGGAACAAATACAACTGTTAATGTTGATGGCAGGAGATGGGTTGGTGACTTGACTCCTAGTAGCAATGTAACTCTTGGTTCTTCTGTGTCGAACACCACTACTGCAAGTGGTAATTCCACCTTGGGGCCATTATATGCAACTGCTCGAATTTTCACTAATGCTATGAACTGCACATTTGAAGGTATTCAAGGGAATTACTTCCTTAGACTTCATTTTTGTCCATTTCCTTTGGAAAACCAGAATGTAAATGAATCTTCATTTGCTGTCATGGCTAATGGTCTGAAATTGGTATCGGAGTTCAATGTTCCGGGTGAGATTTCACTGAAGAATTCATACATTCAAAACTCTAATAGCAATTCAAGTTCTCTCTCTTTGGTTAGAGAGTACATTCTATTTGATTTGGATAGGCTTCTGCTTGAGTTCATGCCTTCTAAAGGGTCATTTGGGTTTATAAATGCCATAGAGGTTGTTCCTGTGGTAGATAAGCTTTTTGCTGACACTGTCAATAAAGTAGGTGGAAATGAAGCAAATTTCAATTTGAGCAGACGCGGGATTGAAACTATGTATAGGCTGAATGTTGGGGGTCCTGAGATCGAACCTAATCAAGATTCGGATTTTTGGAGGAGGTGGGAAATGGATTCTAGTTACATGATTACAGAAAATGCTGGTTCTGAAATCAATAATAGTTCTGACATCACCTATGCTTCCAGTAACGATTCCTCGGTGGCTCCTCTTCTTGTTTATGAAACAGCAAGAACTATGTCCAACACTGGAGTACTAGAGAAAAGGTTTAACATGTCATGGAAATTTGAGGTCGATCCCGATTTTGATTATTTAGTGCGGTTACATTTCTGTGAGCTGGAGTATGACAAGCCAAACCAAAGGATTTTCAGGATCTACATAAACAACAGGTCGGCTGCCGATAATTTTGATGTTTATGTGCGAGCAGGTGGGAAGAACAAGGTGTATCATCAAGATTATTTTGATGTGCTGTCCTCGAAAATTGACACCCTCTGGATTCAACTGGGTCCTGACAATGCAGCAGGTGCTTCGGGAACTGATGCTTTGTTAAATGGGCTTGAGATCTTCAAGCTAAGCCGGAATGGGAATCTTGCCTACATTGAGAGATTTGATACAACTGGTAATTCTGTAAAAAGTTCAAAGTCACGCGGTTTATGGGTGGCAATTGGAGCAGGTGCAGTTTCTGTTCTCATTCTTGCAGTTATATGTACTCTCATCTTTTGCTTCTGCAGAGCTCGCAGAAAAAAATTGAGTGACACCAAAGACAACACTGCTGGGTGGCGGCCGCTTTTCTTGCATGGTTCTATTGTAAATAGCATTGGAAATGCTAAGGGAGGAGTTCAAAGTTTAAATGGATCAACTGCATCCACTAGAATTGGCAAACGATTTACATTGGCTGAAATTCGTGCTGCAACGAAAAATTTTGATGAAAGTTTGATGATTGGAGTTGGTGGCTTTGGCAAAGTGTACAAAGGGGAGATCGAAGATGGAACATTTGCAGCAATCAAGCGAGCGAATCCACAATCTGAGCAAGGCCTAGCAGAATTTGAAACAGAGATTGAGATGCTTTCGAAGCTCAGGCACCGGCATCTGGTCTCTTTGATTGGGTTTTGTGAAGATCAGAATGAGATGATCTTGGTTTATGAGTACATGGCAAATGGGACTCTTAGAAGTCATCTTTTTGGTAGTAATCTCCCTCCATTGTCGTGGAAGCAGAGAGTAGAAGCATGTATTGGCGCTGCACGGGGACTTCATTATCTTCATACAGGAGCTGACCAAGGGATAATTCATAGGGATGTTAAGACAACAAACATCCTGCTTGATGAAAATTTTGTAGCAAAAATGTCTGATTTTGGGCTGTCAAAAACTGGTCCAGCTTGGGACCATACTCATGTCAGTACAGCAGTGAAAGGAAGCTTTGGATATCTTGATCCTGAATATTTCCGTCGACAACAGCTAACTGAGAAATCTGATGTTTACTCTTTCGGAGTAGTGTTGTTCGAAGTTGTTTGTGCTCGAGCTGTCATAAATCCAACATTGCCAAAAGACCAGATCAATCTTGCAGAATGGGCAATGAGGTGGCAGCGGCAGAGGTCACTCGAGACTATAATAGACCCAAGACTAAGAGGAAACTACTGTCCTGAGTCATTGAAAAAGTTTGGGGAGATAGCAGAAAAATGTCTTGCCGATGAGGGAAAGACTCGGCCTACAATGGGGGAAGTTCTATGGCATTTGGAATATGTCTTGCAACTATACGAAGCTTGGATGCGTACAAATGTAGCAGAAAGCTCCTTAACAAGTAGTCAGGCTATGGAGGAACTAGATGAGAGAGTAGAAGAAAAGACACAGCAGTCTTCGAATGAAGAGATCGATAAACCTCAAAGTGATGGGTGATGGAGAATCTGCAATATGGTTATTGGCAAAAAGAGATGTTAAAGAAGAAGAAAAACTGCTTATAATGCATAGATGTGTATCTATTGTCATTGTTATAACTAATTCTTTTATTTTGTTCTATCAGTTGAGTATGAGCTTGAACTCTATTATAGTTTTATGCAGTATTTGACCTGATAGTGAGGAGAAATTATGATATTGTCATAAGCGATTTATGACATATTATTCTTTGTAATATAGGCAGCCTATTAGTTTTTGGTGAGCTTTTTAGATAAGATAATTTTATTTCTGTATGGATTTGAATTATTAATAATCTGGATGAAAAGTTAGGGTTTCATGGTTCTTTCTGTTTTGGTTAACCATGACAGTTCTTGATTAAAATGATAATTTTTTGTAGATTTTGATCGTTGAAACTTTGTTGTGTATTGCCTTTCACAATCTAGTCTTCAGTTTTTCTAATTCTGTGTTCAAGTAGGTTAGTCTATGCGTATATATACACGCATGCACATTTAAAAAAAAAAAAAAACAAAAAAAAAAAAAAAAAGGTAAAATGACGCATTTAAAAAAAAAAAAAAAGTAAAATGAGAGAATATATATATAATTTTTAGTTTATTTTTTAATGAAATTTTTTTTATTATGCTATTAAAAAACATTATAAAGATATATGTAAAAAAAAAATATAGCATGATTTTGTATTATTCAAGTAAAATTAGTACGTAGGTACGTGTTCAGAAATATGGATTAAAAATATTAAAATTTATAGAGATAAGTTAAAAAAATAAAATTAAAGGTGATAAAATTCATTAATTTGATTTATTTTACAATTAATATAAAAAATAATTAACTCGTTATTTCATTAAAATCCATGAATAAATAATTTATTAAGAGTTGTATAAATTTTCAACTTATCATATTATCAATACTATAATTAATCAATTATATTTAACATAACATAATTTCAATTTAATACAAAAATTTTAATTTTTCTTTTATTAATTTTTTAATATAAAATAATAACTACCAATACCATTAAAATTTATAAATTATTTAATTTATTTATATTATTAAAATTTATATAAATGATTACTTAACTTCTCTAACGATATATTAATCGATTACATTTATTTACATCAAACTGAGCGACGCGATTTCCTCGATCACAAACTTGCAAGTTTCCTGCAGCTGCTGCGTTCACCAGAAACGAAGGGAGAGAGAGAAAGAGGAGTCGTAGACGCATGGTGAGGAGACGACGTTGGCAGTGAGGCGGACAGACGCTGGCTTCAGGCGATCGGAAAACGAGAAGGGGATGGGGAAGGGGCTGTGGCGCAATGGGGAGAGAAAGGAAAATGGGAGATGAGGATTTTTTTTGGTATTTTCTTATTTCTGAAACATGCTAAGGTCTAAGGCTTATTTGATTCGATTCAGGGCTGGTTTGTTTCGACTCAGGGTCTTTGCTTGGATTTTCTTTTGGTTTGTGGGTTTCCAATTGGTTTTCTAATTATTTTAATTTTAGTTACATGTTTGGTTTAACGAAAAAATTATCTTTGTGTTAAATTTTTATTAAATAAATTATAAGGCACTAATAAGGTGAAACGACCCGAAAATTTAATTTCGTAGAATTTTCATTTAAAAACTAAATTTTTTATTTTCAACCAATGAGATTATACCAGCTAGTATTACCCGGAAATTTAATTTCGTAGAATTTTCATTTAAAAACTAAATTTTTATTTCAACCAATGAGATTATACCAGTTAGTATTTTATTATTGCTAAGCTGGACCCATTAATCAATTTGATCTTTCGAAAACCAAGCGAAAAACTCGAAAACCAAGCAAATTGAGCCGAATCATTGAATTAGACCAAACCGGTTCGAATCGAACTGGAATGGTCTAGAATAGAAGCCCAAGAATTTTCTTTCTTTTCTTTTTCTTTTTCTTTTTTTCTTTTTTCTTTCTTTTCTTTTCTTTTCTTTCTCTTCTTCTTCCTTGCGCCAGCACCAGGCGCGTGACCTCCTCTCCCCCTTTCCTCTCTTTGTTTCCGGCCACCATGCGAGGAAGCAAGGCGGCGTTCACGCCACCAATCGCGTCTCTCGCTTTCTTCGCGCCGAACGGCCTTGCAGTGGCGTAGCTCGAAGCTGCCTCCTTCGGCAACTCCCTCTCCTCCGGCCTTCCGGCGACTGCTATCAACAAGATGGTAATGGAATTGAAGCTTGGATTACATTAGATGATGAAAGAATGGCCTTATTGGAATGTGATTCTGAGTTTTTAGCTTTTGCTTCTCCAAATCCAAGGATTTCAAATCTCTGAGTTAGCAAACCATGTACTTCTTCTCTTCTCTCACTCGATTCTCTTTGAGCTCCGCCTCTACAAGCCGCCGCCACTATAGAAAAATGGCTCTTTCTCTGTGGCTGTAAATTAGCGTCGAAATTGCTTGATCTCAGACTGCCGCCTCCCTCGCCACCCTGTACGGCGGCGACGCCGGCAGCCAGCGGTTGTTCCGGTCACCGGAGCATGCGTATGGCAGAATGTTGACCTTTTTATGTAGATTACGAATATACAGTTAGTTTTGCAACCCGAATTCAATTGACCTTCAAATAATTATTCGACACACAAAATTTTAGAAATTCGGTGTTTATAGCTGAAAAAAAAAAAAAAAACCGTGTAGAAGTTTTAGACTTTAGTGACCTTAGCAATTGAGTGTGGATTAACTTATCAACAGTACGGTACACATTAAAAGTAATTAAAGATTTAAATTATTTAGATAGGATTATATATAAGTTAGACATTTAATTAAATAACAAGACAACTAAGATTATCGAATAGCGTCTATATCTAAATAGAATACTTTTCTACTCTTCTGTAAATATTTAATTTGATTTAGTCCGTTGTTGGTATTTTTCGGGTAGCCGGATATGTTTTAATTTATTTGTTTAGAACTTTAGCAAAATTTTAAGTGCTAATTAGATCTATTTACTTCTTCAATAGGAGCTCAAGGCATTTAATAGTTTTTAAATAATGGCCTTTGTAATGGGAGTGCTCACTGAACTAATTAGTGTTTAAGGCCAATGAATTACAGTTAAATAAGCTTTTTATCGTTGGGATTGATTTAGACAGATAAATATTTATATTGTTGAAGCGTTCTTTTTAAGAAGCTGGTCTATACCTGATGAAATTAAAAAGGTTACGATAATTATACTTGTTGGGGTTGCGTATGATACTGTTTAAGCTTGTGTATTGGATTACTGTGAGAGATGACGATTACTAAATTTGCAACTTTAATGGAAAACATTGGTTTTGTTAATGCCTAATGCTAGAATTTTAGTAAACTGATGAAAGAATGGTGGATATATTTTGGGTCAATTAAATAGAGAATGTTTGACATTCCTTGAGTAGCCCAGCAATTAATTAGTTGCGTCTTTTGAATCATAAGTGTTTGGGATGGGGTATTTGAAGTTGTAAATGAAGTTCTTGTAGCCGGTTAGTGCAACGTTTTAGCCTAGTGTGCTAAAATATGAAAATTTAATCATTGAAAGTCTAGAACTTTTAGATTGGCACAGCAATTATTTCAATTTATTTATTTTTGGAAAATTGCTAGCCTAGCTATAGTACATCGAAGTTATAAACAATTTGATTTCGATAGGAATAGTTTAGTTCAATGCTTTAATCCATGATTTAGACCTTTACGAAAACCTTTTATTTCTGCAAGTTGGCATCAACCATTTGAGTTTTTTGTGTTGTATTAGAAGGACTGTTATATACTCATATATATATCATATATATATATATAAACAAGTAATGTATAATGGGATAGACAATTTTAAATGGTTTGTTAGCTGATGACATTGCTATTGACAGGAGGATGGGAATTAAGGTTTGATTTTGTTCCCGACGAAATGGCTGTGTCTCATTGATTGATAAATATATAATTAATACTGTGTTATCTTAAACAAGGTGGATAGTCCAATTTTCTAGGGAGGTGCTGCCGGAAATTTCGAATAGAACTTTTAGACTAGTTATAATTAATAATAAATTAATAATTTATTTAGATAAATTCTATTATTTGTTACATAATAATAAACAGTACTCTAACTTGTTTATTTATTGTCATTATTATTCATTTAAGGCATTCCATTATTCATTTATTTATTTTCATTATGTTTGTTCAATTATTCATTATTAGTTATTATTTATTTCTATTATTATTGTTGTTTATTTTAACCACCTATTACCCTTATTTAGTTGCATTTTTTTGAAATTGGAATTGTCTAGTTTGTGCATTGCATTACGCCATGTTTAATGATTAATATGCTTGCCGCATTTAATTGCCAACTACTTGATTAATTGTTGTGCTGATATTGCTGTGCTCTTGTTTTGTGCTGGCACGGTCTGGCGATGAAGCTGGTCACCATTGGGTCTTGTCGAGGACGGTTGGACCGTCGCGCCGCGGTACAATGCGGCAGATCCGGCGCCCCCGTGCTGTACCTTACCATTTGTCGGTTTGTATTGATATGGAAAACCACAGGTTGGCTTCATCTTATTGGGCGCACCTTGATAATTTTCTAGATCTTGATCGCAAGGCCCGCCAGCGGTGGCCTCCTGTCGTGGATGCGCCTGATGATCTAGATTTGATGGAGACGACCGCGGCTGCCCCTCCTTGTTGGCTATGGAAAAGAAAAAGATTGAGAATGGAAAAAAACAACCGAGAGGGCCTGGTCAGTGAGGATTAGAATCGGTCGGCCAGTATGGGGGACTCGGCTCCCTGCGTGCACACGTTCATGGAGGACTGAGGCCATTGTGGCGAGGACGCTCATTCGGGGGTTTCCGGTGACGCCCACCAGCACCAATTTCGCACGTTTGATGCTGATTACATGAAAGATGTTAATGATTGCCTGGGTGCTTAATGATATGCCATTTGTGTGGACTGACTGCGTGCAAGCACTAAAAACTAAGTCGGCATTGACTAGATTGACTATATTTATTCACTTTGCTGTGAATGCGATGATGCGGGCAATAGGTATTATTTCTTAAAAAGCTCACCATATCTTGTTTGGGGGATTTTGGTTTTCAGGCAAGTAAGTTCTTTCTTTAATCCGATTTAGGTTCATGTTCCTTCGCGCGGAGGCGCAACAGATGAATTTTTCCTAGTTCCCACAATTTATTTCGCGTATGCTAATTATGTTATACCAACAAGAGTTAGTGACTCCGCAGTTGTAGGATTACCATATATTTAGTCCGTGTATTAACATAGACAAAATAATTCTGGTAAGCTCATGTTAGAAATGTCCGATGTACTTGTAAATTGGGCCCCGAACTATGGACAATGTGCTGCTTAGGAACGCATAAACTTGGGCCCGAGAAATAATAACAAAATTATTTGAGGTTATTTTTCACTTTATCATATGCGCCTGAATGCTTGAACACTTCTATACCTGAGATAATTAGCATTCTAGTGTTCAGGCTCTACTACGGCCTCGGGCGGCCAGCCTTACCTGGGCGCCTAGTGCCGGTTCCGGCCATTCTAGTGTTTCAGGCTTACTACGGGCCTCGGGGGCCTTAAGCTTACCTGGGCCCTAGTGCCGGTCCGGCCCATGGAATTGGGTCGTGACATAAGGTCTTTAATATTATTGGTTAAAATTAATATTTAGATTTTTAAATGAAAATTTTTTAAAATAATTTTGCGGGTTATTTCATAAACGCACCCTAAATTTTTATTGAAACGTTAAAAACCGTTCACTTCAACAACCAAATTAATAAATTTTATCAAAATAATAAAATAATTTAACAAAGAATTATTAATATAAAAATTTACATGAAAGTGAAAGATAAAAAATTGGTATGATTTAATAAAGTTAACTTATTTACAATCCATAATAACTAAAATTAAAACACAAAAAATTATAAAATTTATTATACATTAATTAAAATTAATATTAGATAAATAAAAAAGGCACTTAAAAAACTGAAAAAACAGTTAATTCTATAACTAAAATTAATATAGGCTTAAAATTGCAAATTTACAACAAAATAAAAAAAATTATAAAATTAATTACATGAAACTAAAATTAATACTAGTGGGAAAATAAAAAAAAATAAAAAGAAAAAAGAACAAATATATAAAATATGAAACTTAGCGCATATAATGTGGTTGCGACGCGTGCTGGCTTGCTGGGTTTGAACTATTGAAAAGAGTAAAAACTCTGTCAACTGCAAAAAAAACCCTAGAATAACTCTCACTCTCGGAGACAATACACTGCACATAAGCAAATATGCCTCCAAAAGCATCGAAATCAAAAGAAGCTCCAGCTGAGCGACCAATCCTTGGTCGATTCTCTTCTCACCTCAAGATTGGAATCGTAATTGCTATTTCTTCTTCTCCTCGTTATTATTGTTATTATTATTATTTTTTTCCGATAGTTTTCTGTTTCGGGAAATGAAAAGTTCTGCATTTATTTAAGTTTCTATTTAGTGACTTTGAATTCTATAGTTAATGATTTTGGAGTGGAAGATAAGGCTAAACCTTTATGCTGTATTAACTTTGTTATTATTATTATTATTAAAATAGTGTGTAATCCTGCCAATTTGATGCTGAAATGTCTAATTAAGTTTAGATATGTATTTAGTTTTTAATATTCCATTTTTATTTTGGCCTTGAATAGTGACTAATATTTAATTTGCTTCTTCTTCTTCTTTTAAGAATTAAGATAACAGTAAATGTTAGAAATTCAATGCTTTTTCGCTTCTCTGTCAGGTTGGATTACCCAATGTTGGCAAATCTACTCTTTTCAACACACTAACAAAGCTGTCAATTCCTGCTGAGAACTTCCCTTTTTGTACTATTGAGCCTAATGAGGCGCGGGTTAATATCCCCGATGAGAGATTTGAGTGGCTTTGCCAACTGTATAAGCCAAAAAGCGAGGTTTGTGACTCAACTGTACTTTTTGTTTGGGCTTGTGCACTGACTTGATCATGTTGGGAAGCATGATGACGTCCTTTTTTTTATTTTTTTTATTTTTTTATGGGCATTTGCGTTGTAAAATGTGTTGTAAAAAAATGGAAGTATAGATCAACTGTAAACTGCATCTGTGGTTTATGCATGCATCCATTTGCATTTGTGGCTTGGAACTTGTGGGTTAATAATAGATACAAAATTGTGGAGACTATGTGACATGATTGCAATTTTGCTCCATAGAATCATTAGGAACAGAACACAAGTAAATGATGCTTGTCTAAGTTTTCTCTTAATGAAGCATGGACACAGACATGGACACTGCATTGATTTAATATGCACAGGCTTGCATTGCTATTCTTAAAAATATTAACACATGAAATGCATGCTGGCCATGGTTTTATTTGTCGTGTTGGACAAGTAGATTTACATCTAAAGCTGACTCGTTGGTGTTTCATAGATTTTATGTACCTCATTGATAAATCAAATACAAGAGTAATGCTTGTCTTTGTAGCTAATTACCACATAAGTTTGTGAAACCATCAGACTGAAGAGGAAGTCGAAAGTCAAATTGAAACCATTGGCTGATTGTAGTTGATGTACAACAAATATCAGATTGTATGGAAACGAAAATATATGAAGACAAACTTTTCCGTTTATTTGTTCATGTAGCTGTGTCTGCTGGGCTTTTTGCACCAAGTTACTTTTCATCCATTTGCTATCTTATCCAGCCCTCAAGGTTATTTGACTACATACATGTGAACATTTTGTCTTTCTTCTCGGGAGGAAACCTGGTTTATGTTTAGATGCTAGAAAAAATAAAAAGCACGGAATGATTATATGTATTGAGAGATGCAACAGTCATGATTAGTGATATGACAATTTAACACGTTCTGAACTATTGGAATTTTTCAATATGATACAAAACATTCACTTAAGTTATTCAAGTTGTTTAAAAAATATCATTTTATTTGAAAGATAGACTTTGTTACTTAGGATTTGTATCTACTTCTATGAATTTAATGTGATGTTTATATGTTATTGTTCTTTACTGTTGATCTCTGCGCACTGTATCACATTACTTTTTGATCAGGTCTCAGCTTTCCTAGAAATCCATGATATAGCTGGACTAGTTAGAGGTGCTCATGAAGGGCAAGGCCTGGGCAACAGTTTCTTATCTCACATCCGTGCAGTTGATGGCATTTTTCATGTGTTACGTAAGATGCCTAAAACTTTAATGCAGTTCATGTCTCAATTCACCTGTATATAAAATTTTTATACTTCATGATAATCCATTTCAGGAGAAAATTTTGCTTTTTAAAGAGCAGAAAACTTCTCCTGCGAGCATCTTAGAAGATATTTCTTGTGGGTAGTGTTCATTGTAAATGTAATCAAATTGGCAATTTGTCCAGTATCTGCTCTCTGTACTTATTCTTCTACTCGTAGCTGATTGTTGTGATCTTATATGTTGTTTAATTCTCATCAATTCACTTATTAACATCATAGGTGCATTTGAAGATCCAGACATTATTCATGTTGATGACTCTGTGGATCCTGTGAGAGATCTAGAGGTTATTGGTGCTGAGTTACGGCTAAAGGTATGTGTACCAATGTGCTTATAGTATTTTCATATTCTGATACATTGTTTTTTCTTCTCTTGACTATTGATGTCCTGGTGATGGAATTAGTGAATCCAATCATTATGAAGAAAAAATCCTAGAATTATTTGTTCCAAAAGTTGAGACTACCAGGAGGATTGCACTTCTTAATTTTCCAAAAAATATATTATATACTCACATGCTAAGTAAAGTGCTCCAGGAGGATTGCACTTCTTTATTTTCCAAAAAATATATTATATACTCACATGCTAAGTAAAGTGCTCCAGGAGGATTGCACTTCTTTATTTTCCAAAAAATATATTATATACTCACATGCTAAGTAAAGTGCTCGGAGGATTGCACTTCTTTATTTTCCAAAAAATATATTATATACTCACATGCTAAGTAAAGTGCTCGCATGTAACATGGGTTCTTCTTTTATTTGGTCTTTCGTGGCAATGGGTTGTCTGAAGGTAGGTTGGGTGGAGAAATTTTCATTATCTTATGTGGGGGAACATAGGGGAAGTTAAATGTATATTGGTTGTTGAATACTGACCCTACCTGCTGTAGACTGAAGGCCTTAGAGGATTCCTGTAATACTCACTTAAACCATCTCACTTTTTGTTGCAGCTATATATGGAAACCGGTAAATTGTGGCAAAACGTGTTTGAAATTAACATTATTCATATGGTGGGATAGATTGAGAAATACTTGAACCTTTGTACCTCTTTGATTGTGTCTTGTAGTGATCCATTATCTTTTTCTATTTATACTATAATATTAACTGCCTGTTTCTTTTCCCTCAAATTTACTACTTTATCTTGATTTCAATACACTTATAATTCCCTTTTTTTCCCTTTCTACCTGTCATGTTAAAAGCTTATCTGTTGAAGTAATTGAAGGAGATCCTAAACCTGTATTGCCTCTTTGTGATTTGACCGTAGGATCTTGAATTTATTGAGAGAAGAATAGAGGATATTGAGAAGAGCATGAAGAGGAGCAATGACAAACAGCTAAAAATAGAGCATGAGATGTGTCAAAAGGTTTGTAATATGTTCTAATAGTCTTTCCTCCCATGAATCTGCAAATTCATTAACATATCTGGTCATACCACGTATTTTGTGAATTTTGTCTGCTTCATTTGGAAATATCAGTAGTCCAAAATTTGATATTTGACTGTCTTATTCATTGTTGAAGTGGCTGTATGTGATAATGTTGGAGACAGCTTGTCAATTAATATGCGTTGTTGATTATTTGTCTTGTTAGTTATTTAGAGTTAAAGAAATGCTTATGTTCATTGTGGTAGCAATGGAACCCTGATGATGTTTATGGAATTTTTTGGTGCTTAAATGCCTGTTCTTGAAATCTGAATTGGTTGCACAAGCTACTGTTTTTATTTGAAAATTTGTAAAATTTCAGAGTATTTCCATTTCCTGTTTTAAAAAGTCTTAAATGTATTTACGAGGATCGCAGATATAGTATCTGGTGGACCTTAGATTTGCTGAAAGTATTTCATTTTGTTGTGGTCCATATGGAAGATCACAATTTATCAGTATCTTTTATTAGATTTCATTTCTTCTTTCTATTTGTAGAAATGTGTCAGTTAGATGTGGATCCATTTCATAAGAATGTGATAAAATTTTAGACTATTTGTCACCTACTGTTTATCCAGATTTGGGAAAAGGAAGTATGCTTGTTGATGCATGGGTACTTTATGCTTTTGATTAAGACCATATAATTGCTGTTGATGCATGGATACTTTATGCTTTTGATTAAGACCGGATATAATTGCTGTAGTTGATAGAATAAAGGGGCCATCTTGTTCCTATCCTCATTATCAAGTAATGAACCTGTCCTTTTTATTTTATTTTTTGTAAATTCTGGGGATGTCCTGTTACTGAGGGTCCTAGCAGGATGTAATCCTTCTTCTCGTCTATGTGCATAAGTGCATGAATCTATTACCTACGCATGATGCTTAGATGGTTACTTTGGATGCTCTATTTTCAAAGTGATCAATCAATATTGACTAATTCACCTTATCCTTTTTAGAGATTTAGCAAAAGTGTCTAATACTATAGGAGTATTATGATTTTATCCCTTTATTTGGTCATAATATGCAACAATTACCCTGCATTTTTAGAAGTACATAGTTTTGTCCCTATATTTTGCCCCCATTATATTGTTATATCATTTTATCAATTTTTTTTTTTTACTTTTTTCGTGAATAAATTGCTATTTTGTCAAAGTTACCTATTCTATCCATGTATGTATTAATTATTTTATCCATATTTTGCTAAAATTAACTAGTCCGTCCTTGTATTTAACAGAAAAAGTTAAAAAAAATTAACAGAAGGGTATAATAGTCTGATGGAGAAAAAAGATAGGGATAAATTTATGTATTTCTAAAAAAACAAGGGTAAAGTTATGTATTTTGACATAATACAAGGATAAAATAGTAATTTCTCCTAATACTATCTGTTTCTTTTATGTATTTAAATAATATACTCTGTGAAAAAGCAGCTTCTTCTTCTTCTTTGCTTTGATTTTTTATCTTTTTAGCATACAAGGTATTGCCTGCTTAGGCTAATGAAGTCCAGAACTTATATTGTTCTCATTTTTCAGATGCTTGTAATTAATCAGCATTATGGAAATTATGGTATGTTTTATTGTGGAATATATAACTTGTGTTAAGCAGTGATTTTTCGTGGTAACAGGTCAAGGCATGGCTTGAAGATGGGAAAGATGTCCGCCTAGGAGACTGGAAAGCTGCTGATATTGAGATATTGAATACATTTCAATTGCTTACTGCCAAGCCTGTTGTTTACCTGGTAAATATTCTTTCTTTTGTGCCACCTCCTCAGTCATAGACAGTTGGGAAATTTACCTGCAGGCTCCATATTAAGTTAGCCATGCTTTTTAGATGTTCATATGTCAGCTATTATTGTTTGCCTTTTTCAACAAGTACAACTTTGTCATGTGATCTTCTGATGAGGGATGGGGTAAATTGATGACTTCTTTTCTGTCACTAAGCTAATGACTGTTGGTGAGAATACTATGTGCTCGAATTATCTAAAATTTAAAACTCTTCTGAGAGTAAATCGAGGGCATATTGAATTGGGAATTGATTTGTTTGTCATTATCTTCTGGTATTTATCTTTTAATTAGTATATTACTATGGATCAAGCAAGCTTGTTGAAACAAACCAAAAGTGATTGTGTGTTGTAGCCAAGATGAGAGTCCAATGAAAGCATCTTGTCTTATGCTGCCTAGGTGCAGATTGTTGGTTCTCATTAAGCCTTGAACCCAAGGCACTGTGGCACACTTTTTGCAGCTGTTAGTTTGTCTCTGCTATCAGAATTTCCAAGCTGACGTGCCGCTCCTAGTTTACAAATGAGAGCATATCAAATCAAACCAAAACATAAAAGTTTTAAAACCAATAAAGGCAAAAAACTAATCTATACATCTATGATTTTTTCCAGCCAGACTCACAAAGTAGAGGCTGTTGTGGACCACGTGCATTAAATTATAGTGAATTGACTATGATTCAGGAAAGATATAACTATACGGTGTTGGCTGGTACCATCCGTACTTAAAAAATGTTCAATCAATAAAATTTTTGTATTTTTATAAGTGTGGTTTATGGACCAATAAGAATTTGTCTTAGCAAATTTGATACTGCCATTGTGAAAAAGGAAAGGCAAAATTAATTGTTTCAACACTTAAAGGAAGATTACCCTGGGAGAATGCTTATTAACTAATTTGATGCAGCATCCTTTTGCAATATCTGAGGCATATCTGTTCATTCATCAAATTTTTATTCCTAGGAAATTGTTAAGGATATGGGTATGTCACATTTACATGCTCTGCAGGTTAACATGAATGAAAAGGATTACCAGAGAAAGAAGAACAAGTTCTTGCCCAAGATTCATGCTTGGTATGTCCAATGTTCTCATCTCATTTTACTATTTTGCAGTATTTAAACACCTCTACTCTCTCTCACTGTGTAGGTTTTGTGTGTGCATAATCCTACATACATTAAGTCCTTTATATTATGCTTGCGCGCTTGCATTCACATACATGTATGAATGCATTTCTACTGTGTTGCATGGAGAACAATGGAAGCTGCTCATTTACCCATTATCTTTTACTTGGTTTCTTGTTTTTCTAGGGTGCAGGAACATGGGGGTGAAACAATTATTCCTTTCAGCGCTGCGTTTGAGAGAAACCTTGCTGACATGACACCAGATGAAGCAGCTAAGTATTGTGAGGAGAACAAGGTGCAAAGGTCGGTAATGAGGAGCAAACGTTTAATTTCATAAATGTTTTTCTTAAGTCTAAGATCTGTATGCTAATTTTTAAAGAGTAGAGGTTTGACGTTTTGAACAAATGATATTGGGAATTTGATGAGTTAGAAAACTTTGTTGCTTTAGTTATGTACTTGTTCTTTCATAAATTGGCAAAGGTAATCCTCCAGCGGTATCCTCAGTTTCTCTTTTTAAGAGCTTCAATAATTTGTCTCTGAAGTATAATGACAATTGAAGCTTTTTCTTTATTGTGGATAAGCATGATGTCTTATGATTGATTTCCTTAGACTCAGGGATGGTATTATGCCAGATTGAGAGGATGATTGTCACGTAGTATGGATATAAATATAACTGAAGAAGATGGACTTCATCATATTCAGTTATATAAATATAAATAGTGCTTCACTACTGAGAAAAGTATGATTCAATACAATGGGGCTTCATTATGGCCACATGTTGAAATCTGCTGTTAATCTTTTATTTTGAGAATATTATTGTCTGTGCTAATAATCTTCAATTGACAATGGTAATTTTTAATGCCCAAACGTTGAGGCTTTAGTCACCTGCTAATCTCCTTTTCAAGTTGAAATGTCATAAATTTGGAAAGCCAGATTGCTTTACTTGCAATTACCACACTCATTCTGCTATTGCTTCCAAGTTCATAATGCAAAAGTTTTCTGGAGTTTTGCTTCGTAATTATTTTTATTACCCATAATTTATGTAGCTGATTCAAACTTGCTTGGGGTTAAGCTTTAGTTGTTGTTGTGCTGTCGTAAATGTATGACTAACTGTACCATTATCTAACTTCGCTGCAGCGCCCTTCCAAAGATCATTAAGACTGGATTTTCTGCAATTAATCTTATATACTTCTTCACTGCTGGCCCTGACGAGGTAATGATATGCATATGCCTTGCAACTTTATGTGATTGTTTTTTGGTTGCTCTCATTCTTTGTAAACCTTATTTGCTTGGAACCTCATTTAGTTCTGTTTCTAAGTACTGTGCCTCTGCAACTAAAGTGCTTCTATTTTTTGTGATGGTGAGATTTCTTGCCTAAAAATGTAATGAGATTTCTTGCCTAAAAATGTAATGAGATTTCTTGAATTTGACGGGCTTGCAATCTCATTCTTCAAAAACATATCCTGGATTTATGTAGTTTAGGAGTTCATTGTCAAAGTTCTGAAAGAAGCTACTTGTTTAATATCTGTGCAGCTCAGTAGCAGTGATTATTTATGCTTCCGTTTTCTTTTAAGGTTCCTATCATGTTTTATTTAATCATATGAAGATGCTTCTGATGTTGCTGTGCTAAGGTTTCCTTTTGGATTGTATAATTCCAGTGCATGATCTGGGTATATGTTGTGTCTATTTTTACCACCTTGATGTTTTATGGCCTTCATTTCAATAATTATCAACCTGATCTAATAATTTTGTCATTTGCAGGTAAAGTGCTGGCAGATCAGAAGGCAATCAAAGGCCCCTCAGGCTGCAGGGACAATCCATAGTGATTTTGAGAGAGGTTTTATATGTGCTGAGGTTGGTTCTGGTTCTTTTTTTGGATTTTGTTAATATTCTAAAGCTTCTTTGAGATCTAAACTATGATGCGTGGAAACTTCTAGCCATGGGGGAAACTTCTAGCCATGGGCATTTCCGCGTACCCGTTTCCTGTGTAAAATACCATTTTTCCATGTAAAATTATATTTTAAATGTCATTTTCCTGTATCACTCCCACGTGTTCACGTTCCCTCGTTTCCGTTTCCGTGCAACATGGGATCTGAACTTTGAATATCAGTGAACTATTCTTTTTATGGCTGAACTTCTTGCATTTATCTTCAATAATGTCAGTTGCTTTAGCTGTAGATTTTTACTATTCATATTCATCTTCAACTTTACTATGTCAGGAAATCTTTAATTAATAAAGGCTGCTGTATTATCTCATTCTTTTGGTTCATGGAAAAATGTAGATATTTCCAATTATGAGAAGTTTGCTTAACCTTTTGTTAAGATCTAATATTCTTCATTTCCTAGAAACATTTGGAAGGAGCAGTCCATGAAAAGGAAGTTTATGAAGTGATTAAAATCTGCTTATCTCCCCATTTTTCTCCAAAAGATTGTCCAGTATGCTGAGAGATTGCACCTTGTCCTGCTTTGAAAATGATATATAATGCACTGAATCCCCAAACAAAACACCACCACTAATGCTACTGCTAACATATGTCATCTTTTTTCTCATTTCAAATTCATGTAATGCACTCACAATTTTTAGAACATTAATGGTCTTAATATTTGTTTTACTTTTATGATGATTGAAATTCCTTGAGAAATACTAATTTTTGGACTTCTTCGTAATGTTTAGGTAATGAAATTTGAGGATCTCAAGGAGCTGGGCAGTGAGTCAGCCGTTAAGGTACTTGCTTAAAACATAAATTAGTCATTGTATAATAATTCATAAGTAATTAATCCACCCTTCCTCATTTATTTAACAAAATGAGCATTGGGATTTTTAATAGACCCTATGTAAATTTTCAAGGTTAAAATAAGAGACTATTAGCTAACACAGGAAGAAATTGAGAGATAAGAAAATGGGCAAAAAAAAAGAGATGTGATCATCTCACATGGAAGTTTATGATGAACTGAACAGCCTTGAAATGTACCTTTGTGCGTGAACAGGACTTTGCATAAAATACCAGAATATAGAACTGATAAATAGTATTGTGTTTTAGGATTATAGAATGAAATGAAAAGATTATTTGCATTTTTTGGTTATTAAGTATATTATGTAGTGTTTTGGATGTTGGTCAGGGTGCCTCACGAACTCCAAGTTTTGTTGATTCTGACTTCAATTGCTATCAAGACCTGGACCACTTTATAACACAAGCTACTGTTTATTACTTGGAAAATTCTCCAATGCATAGCAAAAAAATTCTAAATTTGTTGCTTGTTTTTTAGTGTCTTGACCTTGTAAGGGTAGTCGCAACCCTGTGTGAAAGCCTCAACCCTAATAGCAATAGCCTTGATGACAATATTGGTAAATTAGTGAGACTCACCTTGAAAAATAGAACCAATAATCTATAACGTAATTAAAATCCACCATTGATGTGAGACACATTTACAGAAAGATCAATAATAGTTTGCTTCTATTTAAACCTACTGAATATCTTTTGCCTTTCGTTGCAGGCGGGTGGAAGGTATAGACAGGAAGGAAAAACTTATGTTGTCCAAGATGGAGACATAATATTCTTCAAATTCAATGTTTCTGGGGGTGGAAAGAAGTGATATATTCATGGTGGGCTGTGGGGATAACTTACTGAGTGAAATTCGATTGGGTACGATTCATCGTTTTGTGGCCACACCTTTTATGACAGAAAAGAGAGGCTCAAAGCTTTGAGCATTTCTATCATTGGATTTGATTTGAACTGTATGTTGGTGGATTCCATCAACATTAATAGTTTCTATCATAGAAATATTATTCCAATCTAAGGATGGAAGCTCTAGCACCTGGCTTCCAAAGTCTCCATAGCCTCGGCCATTCGACAAAGAAAATATATTTGTATCCTGTTTTTGTAGTTTGTAGAACTTTTTGTAAGAATGAGTGCAAAACATAGCAGAGCCTATAGATGCAGGCACGAATTGCCCACTCCCTTTCATATTGGTACGTGCAAAAAATAGGCCAATGCTGTTACTTTTTGCTCAATTTCTCGTGGAGTCAAATTCTCATCAGTAAGGGTCAAGGAATGGTCAACCAAGAGGAGGTAAAAAAATGGAACTTAAAATCTTTTCTGCGGCGGTTTTTTCTTGACCTAAATTGCCCTTTTCTGTTAAACATTGTGCTTTCAGGGCATTGAAATTTTTTATTTTTAAATCATGGAGAAGAACCAACTGGAACGGACGGAGAATATGATAGAACTGAGAAAAAAAAAGTGGTCCAATTCTATCCAATTTAGAAATTAATAACAATAAAAGAAAAGGAAAAAGGGATGAAATGGTAGTTTTAAACATAGTTTCAATGTCAATTCCAAATGGATTCATTGAACCAACTCCAACTTGACAAGGAAATAACATTTTGAAGCTTTTTGTCTAATGGAGAAGGTATAACTTTGAAAAAAGTTGTTTTGACTTTTAGCTCCATATAAAAAAATTTGCAAGAAAGATTTATTTGGTAGCATTTCTTTTAGTGTCTATTGGTACAATTGTTTTCTTCAGCCACATGATTGAATGGGCCATTGTAATTTTAGTTTAATATGGGGTAATTCTAGTCTATTTTGAAACTTATCTTTAGAGATTGTCGGTTTGATTTTTCAATTTAAATTATTGTCGGTTTGTGTTTATTTTTACTTTTATGCTCTTTTTTTTATTTTGTTAGGCATTAGTTTGTTAGTAAATCAGTGTTTTAATTGTTTAGTGTTTCCTTTTTCATTATGTTTTATTTTTTTATTAATTTTCTATTTTAATTATCAGTGTTTTAATTGTTTAGTGTTTCCTTTTTCATTATGTTTTATTTTTTTATTAATTTTCTATTTTAATTATTCGGTTCTTTTTAATTTTGTTGTCTTTATTTCTCCTTTTACTCTCGTCATTTTCAGCCGTCAGTTGTCCTTCTCATTGTTGGCATTTGTTCCACGGTTTTTTTTTTTTTTTTAGATTTTATTTCTCTTCTACGATCTCATTTTTGAATGAGCGTGTCAGCGACTTAACTTTTGCCGAAAAACTATCATCACCATAGATGTTGTTTATGCTTTGTAGAGGTAAAGTAGGAGTCTCGATTCTATATATACTCGATTATATATATATATATATACCGTATTTACTTGGTCTGATCCAATGTGTCAACTGTTGCACATATATAAATAATCTATATTTAATTGATTTTACAGTATTTACTGACTAGTATATATATATATACATTATATTACTGCTAGAGTATATATATAAATGCCGTATTTACTTGATTTGATCCAATATGTTAATTGTATATATATAAGGCGTTATTATTATATTAAATTGCCCTCGGTTAATATAGCTGATTTGGATCCAATATGTTAATTGTAATGGATACTAATTATATATATATATATATATATATATATATATATATAATATATATATATATATATATATAATAGTATATATTTATTATATTATAATTTTCGGGGTTTTTAGTTTATGTAAATTACAATATATACACTATTACATATCTTATAAATACCATATTTTACAGTTATTATGTTGTCATCGGGGTCGTCATCCTCATTGTTTGAATAAGCATAAGTTAATATAGGGGATGTTGCTCTTACAGATTCGTATATACTTTTTTTTAGAGTCATCCTGTGTTTCCCTTTTTTTTTTGATCTTTTTCAGCGGGTTTTTCGCTTTTGTTTTCAGTATTCCTTTTTGATTCAAATTGTATTTTCGTGTTGTTTGGAGATTAGCTGTTTGAGTATTTATGGTTTTTGATTTAAACCAAAAATGTGTTAATTTTTAAATTTTTGAATATTTTTTAATGGGGACAATTTTACTAAAACTGAATAGTTTGAGATATGGACAGTTTACCTCAATGCCCCCTTTAATATATTGCTACTTATCTTTCTTTAATTAGATAATCTGAACTACTCAATAATCGGGAATATTTTCCTCTTATAAATATTTTGAATTTTTCACTGTTTCCTTGCCGATCCCATGGAAATTCTATGATATAAAAGAAAAAAATTACTGAATGGTGTTTTATTTTATGGTATTGGAAACAACGAAAATCATATCCAAATAATCCTAACGGTGCGTAAGATTCGTGCAGCACGTAGAATATTGCATTTCGGATGTCTTGCAATGTTAACTCTATATCCATGCACCGTTATTAATTATGGAAAATTTCATAAAGTTCAAAATTCATCTTTGCCATATGAGTGTTTGTCACTAATATTAATAAGATTCCAAGACAAAAAAAGTTACTCGCTGCTGTACGAGAATTTCGGCTCATCAGGGGCCTCTCACTTGAAATTAAAAAAATTATTTTATTATTAATTGATTATTGGAAATAATGAATTATAATTATACAGCACAGTTGCGATGTATAGCTGTGACAGAGGGAAAGCTTTAAGAATTTTCATATTGTTCATTTACATAGTGCTTCGCCACTACTATCACCAGACATGAAACTCTTTAAAATTGGTAGGATAGAGACACTAATGGCCAATCATTTCTTCTTTTTTTTTTTTTTTAGAGTTTCATTTTTTCCTGTGTTTCCTTTTTTTTTTTTTTGACTTTTTTTCAGCGTTTTCCCTTTTTTTTCAGTATTTCCTTTTTGATCAAATTTGTTAATTTCGTGTTGTTTGAGATTACTTTGAGTATTTATGTTTTTTTTTAACCAAATGTGTTAATTTCTTAATTTTTGATATTTTTATGACATTTACTAAAAACTGAATATTTGAATATGACGTTTACCTCAATGCCCCTTTAATATATTCTACTTTTATTTTCTTTAATTAGATAATTGAACTACTCAATAATCGAATATTTCTCTTATAATATTTGAATTTTCACTGTTTCTTCCGTCCATGAATTTATGATATAAAAAGAAAAAATTACTAATGGTGTTTTATTTTATGGTATTAAAACAACAAAATCATATCCAATAATCATAACGGTGCTAAATTCTGCAGCAGTAAATATTGCATTTCGGATGTCTTGCAATTTAACTCTATAATCATCACCGTTATTATTATGGAAAATTTCAAGTTCAAATTCTCTTTGCCATAAGTGTTTTCACTAATTTAATAAGTCCAGAAAAAAGTTACTCCTGCTGTATTTCGGCTCATCAGGCCTCCCATTGAATTAAAAAAATTATTATTATTATTATTATAAAATAATGAATTATATATACACACAGTTGGATGTATAGCTGTGAAGAGAAACTAAATTTTCATATTGTTCATCATAGTGCTTCCCACTAATATCACCACATGAACTCTTAAAAATTGTAGGATAAGAACACTATGCATCATTTCTTTTTTTGACATACAAAAAGGACTTTGTATTTTCACTTTGATTTTATGAATATTCATCATTTCTTTTCCCTTTCATTCTTTTTTATATTTTTCCACAAATTTTTAATACTCCCATTCAAATCAACAACATGAAAAGGGAAGAAAGCCAAAGGAAAAGGGAAAAAAAAAAAAAAAAGAAACTTTTTAGAATGAAAATAATAGAAAGGAAAAAGAAATCACCAAAAGTTAATTTAATAATAGAAAAGAAAGCAATATTTTATTGAAAGCATGGAGTGTGGGTTCCTTAAAAAAAAAAAGTGCCTCAAAAAATCCTAAATTGCTGAGCATGTGATAAAGCTGGAATTTTCTTTTTATCACTTGAAAAATAACTCTTTAAAGCCTTTTTTTTTTTTAATTATTTTTTAAAGTTGATTGAGGATAAGAAAGGAATAATAAACTAAATTGACAAAATTCAATTCTAAAAAGTTGAACACTTCTTTATAATCCTTTATCATCTTAAAACATGTGTTAACTATGCCATTACACATTCCTCAATAGGGAATATTATGCCCACTATATATAATATATATAGACATAAATTCTTTTTATAAGAAATTTATAATGGCAATTTCAATTTTTATTTTAATTTACTGAGTTTTTCCATATATAAAATTATATTTACCAAATACTTTAATTAATAAAATTATATTGATTAGAAAGTGACTGAATAGTTAAAAGATATAAAAATTATTTTAATTATATGTTAAATCCATACTTTATATTTAAAACTCTAGAAGTTGTTATTGATAATATGAAAAATATATAATTTATCAAAAATCTTAATTATTAGGCCTAAATAAGTTCTCATCAAAGAACTAGTGTAGCATTATCTCAATGTAGTAGCATTCTAAAGAACTACAAATTTATCTTATTTAATTTGTACCTATTATTATTATTATTATTATTATCAAGACTTATTTAATTTCAAATTAATTATTATAATTATTGGAGAGTGGTATTTTTTTGGTTCAATAAGATCATGAAATATAGTATTAGATACTTTCACTTTACCGCTAAGTTAAGACATTAATTAATTAAATAAAATTATGAATCTTTAATGAAATAATGCCAAATACTATATATATATATATTTATATTTGCAATCACAAAAATGTAACTTTACCCTTTAAAAAAAATGTAAATTTATGGCGCTGGCGTGGACCATCATTGGTTGATCTGTTTTTGTGATCACATGTGGTCCTTTTGATCTACTTACGCCACAACTCGTACACTTATAGTTGGACTCCAGTCCAACCTTCATTAGTCATTACCATTACATTACAGTTTGAAATTGGCCCTTCCTTACCTAAAAGTGGGGACAAACAAGACAGATCATTGGCCATGTGTCATGATCTTAGTGGTGTCCAAACGTGGGTCCCACAGGTCCCACCCTCGTCACAAGCACATATAATTGCTCCACCTACTTCACCTCTTCCGGGTGTGCTATTGGAATTTGCAAGAGAAGGACCCACAAAAACCCTGGTCAAAAGGGCAGTGGTAGGACCCACTTCCTACTTGGCACTAACTTCAAAAAGAGCGTCCTGAGTACCTCCAAAATCTTAAAAAAAAAAATAAAAAATAAAAAATAAAATGAAAACTACCATAAACAGGATTTGATAAATTTTTTACGTCCACCATGTCAGAGAGACAGAGACAAGATTCTTCATTTTCATTTTGGCGGGTAAATCCCTAATTTATTATCCTAAAATTGTCTATTATTACCCTAAAAGAAAAAACAAAAAACCCTAACATTTTCCCGCTATCTTTTCACTTTCTGACACGGACAAAAAAAAAAAAACCCCTAAAAAGAAACAAAATAATACTATCATTTTTATTTTTATTAGTATAATTTTTTAATTAAGTGACCCTCCACATGGCTTAGTTTTTGTTACACAGGGAAGGTAAAGAGACAAAGCAATTGCCTGTAAGGGTTTTGTTGTTTCTTTATTAAACAAAGGTAGGGTTTTTGGACTGCTTAACTGTTGAAGAAGCTAAAATGGACAGTTATTAGGGCCTTTATAGCTAAAATATTTCTGGGTCCGGGTCCTTTTGTATTTATTACAATCCGGTGTTCATTTTTTGGACTCTTTTCTTTTTTCTTCTTCATCTGTTTATTCTTGTACCAGTACTAATACTGTACTTTGGCACACCAAAGTGTATTACTGCCCATGGCCATGTATAACGCTTGGTGTAAAGCTCTTCAATCTGTCTAAAGTTGGAGTCTTCATAGAGGGAGAGAGTCTACTGTGCCTACATTGTTAATGAAAGTTGAGATCTCGGTGAGAAAAATTCTGCAATTTTCTCTTTCTTTAGATCTCTTAATGGGCCCAGCTATGTTGCAGTTCCGTTTCAGATAATCAATGCTTGGGCTTATTTTGCGTGAAGCAGTCCCTTGTAGCTGCGAGTTTCCAGATTCTGGCCTAACATCTGGTAAAGAGTGCTGGGTTGCTGAACTCATTTTTAGATTTTTGAATGTGAACGATTTCTCTTTTTTGTGTCTGAAGGAGTAAATGCTCTTTGCCTCGAAGAAAAGGGTTGCTGGGTCTGTTTTCTTTTTTGCTGTTAAACGGTGCTGATTTATATAGCTTCAAAGTTGAAAGCTTTACTTCTGTGGAAGATTCAGTTTGTCCCAAGTTGCTGTTTTTGGTTCTATATCTCGTTAAGCTTTACATGTTTTAAAAACCATTTGGGTTTGTTGAATATAGAAATCCCTCTCTTATTTCCTTGGGATAACTGTATCTATTACTAGGTTGGAGCCACTTGCTGGGTGAATATGAAGCTCTTTAGGCTTTTAGTGTTATCCCTATTTTTCCTTTCTTCCATGGGCCAGCTTCCTTCACAGGACATTTTGGCATTGCTTGAGTTCAAGAAGGGTATCAAGCATGACCCTACTGGATATGTACTTCAATCATGGAATGAGGAGTCCATTGATTTTGATGGCTGCCCTTCTTCTTGGAATGGTATTGTTTGTAATGGTGGAAATGTTGCTGGTGTTATCCTCGATAACTTAGGTCTCTCTGCTGATGCTGACTTGAGTGTGTTTGCAAACCTCACAAAGCTTGTCAAACTCTCTATGGCAAACAACTCTATGACTGGCAAGATTCCTGACAATATAGGTGACTTCAAAAGCCTTGAGTTCTTGGATGTGTCTAACAATCTTTTTTCATCATCTTTACCAACAGGATTTGGTAAATTAGTGAGCTTAAATAATCTCTCATTGGCTGGGAACAACTTCTCTGGCTCGATTCCAGATTCAATTTCAGGGCTCATATCAATTCAATCTTTGGACTTGAGCCGCAACTCCTTTTCTGGGTCATTACCAGTGTCATTGACAAGGCTTAATAACCTGAGATATTTAAACGCATCTTCTAATGGATTCACTAGGAGAATACCAAAGGGGTTTGAGCTGATCTCGGGTCTACAAATACTTGACTTGCGTGACAATATGTTTGATGGTCATCTGGATGGGGAGTTTTTCCTTCTAACTAATGTAAGTTATGTTGATTTTAGTTTGAATATGCTGGTGAGCTCTAGTCCAGAAAAAATACTGCCGGGTATTTCTGAGAGCATTAAGCACTTAAATCTAAGCCACAACCAGCTCACTGGATCATTGATAAGTGGAGGTGAGCTGCAGTTGTTTAGAAGCTTGGAGGTATTGGATTTGAGCTACAATCAGCTGTCAGGAGACTTGCCTGGATTTGATTTTGCTTATTATCTTCAGGTCCTTAGGCTCAGTAACAACAAGTTCTCTGGGTTTATTCCTAATGACCTGTTGAAAGGAGACTCGTTACTTTTAACTGAACTAGATTTGAGTGCCAACAATCTCTCAGGTATCTCTTAAATCTCTGCTTTAATTTCTTTCAAGTTACTAACCCGTTATTTGGTATAAATTAGTTTCAAGTATAGAATTCATTTCTTTTGTTTTTCTGAAGAATGAATTTGGTTTAGTTACATTGAATTCCATAACATTGAATTCATGGGGAAAAATGAACATTTTCATTCATTCCATGTATAAAAACGTGAAATTCCAAACTAATTCCATAAAATTTGTAGAATTCATTAATATCAAACAAGATATTAATTTTGGGTTTAATTTATACTCTGGCATACTTCTATATGGTGCAGCTTACTATGTTTCTGACACGGTAATTTCAACTTGCAGGACCAATAAGTATGATTATGTCCACCACTCTGCATATCCTCAATGTCTCCTCAAATGGCCTTGTAGGTGAACTTCCTTTGGTGACAGGAAGCTGTACTGTGCTCGATCTATCAAACAACCAATTTGAAGGAAATTTAACAAAAATTGCTAAGTGGGGTAACATTAATTACCTTGATCTCAGCCAAAATCGTTTGACAGGATCATTTCCTGAAGTACTTCCCCAATTTCTACGTTTGAATTATCTCAACCTCTCTCATAACTCTCTCACTAGCTCCCTCCCAAAAGCTATTGCTCAGTATCCAAAACTTAGAGTCCTAGATCTCAGTTCCAACCAGTTAGATGGACCTCTTTTGACTGATTTATTAACCTTGCCTACTTTGCAAGAACTCCATCTTCAAAATAATTTACTCAATGGTGCTATTGAATTCTCTCCTCCTTCTAATAGTGAATCTAATCTTCAAGTTATTGATCTTTCACATAACAAACTTAATGGCTATTTTCCTGATCGGTTTGGTTCACTGACTGGACTTCAAGCTCTTAATCTTGCTGGGAATAATTTATCTGGTTCTTTGCCAACTTCCATGGATGGTATGACATCACTAAACTCAGTAGATTTGTCCCAAAATCATTTCACAGGTCCTTTACCAAGCAACTTGTCTAACAGCCTTGGAAGCTTTAATGTTTCATACAATGATCTTTCTGGGGTTGTCCCAGAAAGCCTGAGGAGGTTTCCTAGTTCCTCTTTCTATCCTGGAAATAACAGATTACGCCTTCCTAGCAGTCCTGGTACAAACAATTCTCCAGCTGAAAATGCTAGGAGGAAACCAATCAACACTATTGTGAAGGTGGTGGTGATTGTCTCATGTATAATTGCAGTTATCATTCTCATCATGCTTGCTATTTTCATACATTACATTCGCATATCAAGAAGAACTCCAGCAAACCATGTCACTAGTAAAGGTACCCATAGACGTGCTCCAACCAACCCTTCTGGTATTAGTGGGACAGACAGTGGTGGTGCCTTGGTTGTTTCAGCGGAGGATCTTGTGGCATCACGGAAAGGATCATCATCTGAGATTCTCAGTCCTGATGAGAAAATGGCTGCTGTAACCAGGTTCTCACCATCCAAGCACAGTCATTTGTCTTGGTCACCAGAATCTGGGGATTCATTTACTGCCGACACGCTTGCAAGACTGGATGTAAGGTCACCTGATCGATTGGTTGGAGAGCTTTATTTTCTTGATGATACAATCACATTGACACCTGAGGAGCTTTCACGGGCCCCAGCAGAAGTCTTGGGGAGGAGCAGTCATGGGACTTCATACAGGGCAACACTGGATAATGGGATGTTCTTGACGGTAAAGTGGCTAAGAGAAGGGGTGGCAAAACAGAAAAAGGAGTTTGCTAAGGAAGCTAAAAAGTTTGCAAACATCAGACATCCAAATGTGGTGGGTTTGAGAGGATACTACTGGGGACCCACTCAACATGAGAAACTCATTCTGTCAGATTATATTTCACCTGGAAGTCTTGCAAGCTTTCTTTATGGTAATATTTTGACCTTATTATTTCCGCCATAAAAATTGTAGGCCCTTGAGTCTTGCTTCCAAGTACCTTAGATTAGAAATTGTTACTTTCTCCACTGGAATTTAGAAAAGGAAACGATGGTTACTTCAAATTATTCTATCTTGTAAACAAAAATTGCCAGAGATGATAACCTGAAAGCATTCTCTTTTTAAAGCCCTCATTATCTTTATAATTATTATCACATTTAGAGAAACTTAGCATATATAGTTCCTTGAAATAAGCTTTGGAGAATCTAATTACATCTTTTCAATTTAGATTTAATGCAACACATGCCCTGTGATTTGATTGTTATTTTGCTCTTTTATTTTAGCTTTGCTTCCCCTTCTGAATGAGAATTTTGTTGGTTTTATTGCATTGGAGATTAGGCATAATGCATTCATATAGCAGAACTCAAGTACATTTGCCTAAATACATGTTTTACAAAGTAATGTCTGCCATCACATGTTTTATAAAATAATATGTGCCAGTCAGTTTATTCTAATTTTTGAACATGATAGAGTCTTTAAAACTTAGATGCTACGAATTCAAATTCGCATGTTGATTGATTTGATTTTCATTTCAAATGAACCTTAAATTTTCAGATCGACCAGGAAGAAAAGGCCCGCCATTAACCTGGGTACAGAGGCTCAAAATAGGAGTTGATATTGCACGTGGCCTGAACTATCTCCATTTTGACCGTGCTGTTCCACATGGTAACCTTAAAGCATCAAACATACTGCTAGATGGACCTGATCTCAATGCACGCATTGCTGATTACTGCCTTCACAGACTAATGACTCAAGCAGGCACCATTGAACAGATACTTGATGCTGGAGTCTTAGGTTATCGTGCACCGGAGTTGGCTGCTTCCAAGAAACCACTTCCTTCATTCAAGTCAGATGTTTATGCTTTTGGAGTAATATTATTGGAACTTTTAACTGGCAGGTGTGCTGGTGATGTTATTTCTGGGGAAGATGGAGGAGTTGACTTGACTGATTGGGTACGGTTAAGGGTGACAGACGGTCGTGGCTCTGATTGCTTTGATCCTGCATTGATGCCAGATATGGCAAATCCTGCAGTCGAAAAGGGAACGAAGGAGGTTCTTGGACTAGCATTAAGATGCATAAGATCTGTCTCTGAGAGGCCAGGTATCAAGACTATATATGAAGATCTTTCATCCATTTAGCTTGGAAGTAGAATCTTTTGGTTGAACTTGAAGTTTTTCCTTCTCTCTTTGTGGTTAAATATCTCATTGGCCCCTTTTTTTGAATCTTTAATTTCAGCATTTTTAGGGTTGTTAGCTAATTGTATCAATCGTTGCTGTAAAGAAAAGCATATTTTCAATGGATACAATATTTTCAGATTTTAGCTTGCAGTGGCATTCAGTTGAAAAATGCGTTGGTATATTCATTTAAGTGAGAATCATTAATTAGTTCTTGAAGTTTTACTATTTAGCAAATAAATATGCTTCATAATTAGATGTCATTGTACTTGTTTTTGAATTGGTTTACTGTTTCTGACATTCAAAAATTTATATAATTATTTTAGCGGGAAACCAATCCGTTAAACCTGCAGGCTGCAGCTCTTCAACTGTACCTTCCATGGACTTGCTTTTGGTGTTTTGGTGTATAGACATTATTTTGTATAGGGCTATAAAAAAAATCCAACCTCTACGGAATAAAAATAATTTTTTTTTTATAATTTGTAAAATTTATTATGAAATTACAAGTTAATTAAATATAAAATGTATTTTTATCTTATAAAGTATCTACTAAAACATAACATTGAAATAAAACATTATTCAATAGGAAAAAAAATATTATAATTTATAATTTTAACTATTTGAATAAGCCCGTAAATAATTTCAGACTTGCTCAAAAATTGAAGAAATCAATGTTGAAATGATTTAGAACTTAAACTTCAAATCAACTCAAACTCAGAATTTTATACTATCACATCAAATATCAAGCAATGTGATACTCTAATCTTGATTGGTTTACCGCCTTAATGTGATATTCGACTAGGTTCGATTCATTTATAACCCTAATTTGGTATAATAAGTATATGATATCTTTGGATTAAAAAGAAATTCCAATAGTATGAGATTTTTTTTTTCATATGGCAAATAATTATTCACTTAGTGTATGAGTAAGCTCATAAATAATATGTAGAGAAATATCTTCCTAAAATTAAAAACCCAATTAAGCATATGTAAATGGAAATCGTATATAATAAATTAACTTATAATTTTTCTAGCTGATTTTTGATTTACAAACCTGATCAAAAGATTAAATTAAAAACCAATTAAAATATTTTGTTAAAGTTTTAAATTTCAATAGATACCAAACATAATAAACAATTAAGCTCTTTAACAATTTTTCAATATAAAAATTTGTCTACTTATATTATTACTTTTTAGATTTTTAATATTAACTTTTATATTTATTAATACCACCTAATGCAATATCTTAACATACATCATCAAAATTAAATTTGAAGAGTACTCCTATATGTTTATAAGAAAAAAAAATTAAATGTTTCATAAAAAAAAAGAAAGAAAATATTTAATTATTTTAGAAGGGATAAGGAAAAGGGGACTATGACTAGATTCCACATTGTTGATTGAATATTATCATATCATATATTGCTATAAGACAATTTTACAAATCCAACGCATTATTTCCTTATTGGATATAATTAGCTATAAAAGTAAATAAAAACTTGATCTTTGCAGAAGTTGGTTAGAGTTTATCATTCAGTCATCCATGGCGATATTATACAGAGTGAGAGGAGTACTTTCTATCTTCAACACCAAACTATATGCTTCTATTCGCGGCTTCTCTACATCTCCACCCTTTTCGCAATTTGAGGTAACCCTTCTGTAATTTCTTCTCCTCCTCACTTTTATATGTATCTACTTCCTAAACACCCTTTTATTGAAATTTTCTGACCTTTTGTTATTTGAGCTACGGTCAATTGAACAGAGCTTTATAATGTGATTTAGGAGTGGCAATCTAGGATCTTCACGAAACTTGCCATGTGACTAATGGGTTCTTGAGAAATTCTCAGTTAGTCGACAACAAAATAATAAAATTCCCATCTTTGGATTTCACATGAGTCAGATAGATGATTGGGAAGTAAGTATTTTTACTGGGGTTTTGAGTAAACTATTCTTGTGGGTTTAAGGAACTAATTAATTTTCATTTATGTCACCTTAAGTTGATTTGAATTGAATATTTTATTGTTGGTGTAGTAATGGCAGCAGAAGGAATTTGAACTCTTATACAAATTTCTTACAAATTATAGGCTTTGAGAATGAAAGTCAACTTTCTGAATAAGAGTTCTAGATTTTTCTCATATTGACTATTCCGTCTCTGAAGATGTGATGGTCATTCAAATTGACCAAGGTGAAAAAAAAAAAAAAAAAAAAAAAAAAGCAGCTTTATAGATGTGATTTAGGGAGTGGCAATCTAGGATCTCACGAAACTTGCTCAATGTGAACTAATTGGGCTTCTTGAAGAAATTCTGCAGTTAGTCCGACACAAAATAAGTAAAATTCCCACTTTTGGATTTTCCACATGGAAGCTCAGATAGATGATTTGGGAAGTAAGTATTTTTAACTGGGGTTTTGGAGTAACTATTCTTGTGGGTTTTAAGGAACTAATTAATTTTCATTTATGTCACCGTTAAGTTGATTTGAATTGAAATATTTTAATGTTTGGTGTAGTAAATGGGCAGCAAGATAGGAATTTTGAACCTCTTTATACAATTTCTTACAAAATTTATAGGCTTTGAAGAATGAGAAAGTCAACTTTCTGAATAAGAGTTCTAGGATTTTTCCTCAATATTTTTGACCTAATTCCGTCTCTGAAGATGTGGACTTGTCATTCAAATTGACTAAGGTAGAAAAAAAAAAAAAAAAATAAAAAAGGCTAAAACAATGTAGATTATTTATGCTAAGCGTGACCTTGGGCAGATTCAAAACTTTGAGGTTTGCGCAAAGGGTTGATTTTTAAGCTTATCTCCTCTGATAAAATTATCTTTGACCTGTAGGACCATATACATTATAATCCCTCTTTGCCTTTCAAGAATGGGTATTTTTGACGAATTCCCCTGGGATGTGAACCTATTCAAGTTAATGGATGCGAGCTAGCTACTTATCCCACTGAATTTGTGGTTAATAAGTTTTTTTCGCTAATGCTCTAAAATCTATTGGAGCCCATTGCAATCTGCGTGCTGTTTAAAAAAAAAAAAAAAAAAAAAAAAAAGCAAACAATGAGATTAATATGCAAGCGTGACATTGCAGATCAAAAACTTTGAGGTTGCCAAAGGGTTGATTTTAACTTATCATCTCTGATAAAATTATCTTTGACCATGTAGGACCATATACATTATAATCCTTTGCCTTTTCAAGAATGGTATTTTTGACGATTCCCCTGGGATGTGAACTATTCAAGTACTAATGGTAGAAAACGAGCTAGCTACTTATCCACTGAATTTGAATGAGATTAATAAGTTTTTTTCCTAATGCTCTAAAATCTATTGAGCCATTAGCAACTTGTACATGTTCTTTGGTGAACTATTGAGGATGATGATGCTTTTCCTTTATAGTTAACATTGCTGTGAAGAGGCACATTAAGCACCTTAAACCTTGTGTGCTATATTCTGGTTAGAATGATTTCCTACTATTTCGGTCCATCAAAATAACTTGAATTGTTATGTTGTATCTTCTTTTTTAGCTAGGGTTCTTGTTATACTTATCATGCAGATTCCTCTAATTTGTTAAACTTAAATGATTGATGTATAACAGAATGTTGGATTCATTGGGCTGGGAAATATGGGATCCAGAATGGCAAACAATCTAATTAAGGCTGGGTACAAAGTGACTGTTCATGACATGTATGGAACAAACCTTTTTCTTGTAGTTTTGTTACTTTAATTTTAACAAGTTAATTAAATTCCAAAAGGTTCCATAACTACCAGTTAAGAGTTCATAATTTTCTTGTGAGTATATTAGTAGTCAGAGTAGACTCTTTTTGTCAGCATTATAATTTAGTTGTGGAGCTTAATGTGGATAAATAGAGGCACACTTGTCTGCACTTGAAGTCAAATGGGCAAATTTGATTTTGTTTCAGAAACCATAATGTCATCAAGATGTTTACTGACATGGGAGTTCCATCAAAGCAAACACCATTTGAAGTTGCAGAAGCAAGTGATGTTGTAATTACAATGTTGCCCTCAACATCTCATGTGAGTATTGTGATTTAATTTTGCCATTTAATATCAGGATCTATGGTGTTTGTCGTCATTGCCTCCTATGATCTTCAATAATACAGTGACTTGTTAAAGGTATTGCTTCATTTCTTTACCATGTTATATGAATGTGAAATGCACAACTTGTAACTCATAATTGGAATCAATAAGTTTTCCATGTGCTAATCAGCTTTCTTTCTCTCTTCTTCTTTCTTTTTCCTTTTTCTTTTTTTTAATAAAGAAAAAAAGAAAAACCTCCCTCGATTCTCCTGTTCCACAATCCGATAAGAAATTCCTTGGTTGGCTATGTATTTATGGAAACCAAATGGCTAATGTTCTACAATGGATGATTTCTGTATTCTTGATCTACTTATATCATGTTTCTTCTTCTTTCATTAGGAGAAAAAACATAAATAATTTTGATAATATGTTTATATATATGTATGCTATCTTAAATTAAATTATTTGACTTCTGTTCATTTTGAAACAGGAAAGTACATGTAAAATTTGAAATTTAAGAATTTAAATTATTTCCATTACCAGTCTTTCATGAAAAGCTAAAATAGTTGTTAATAAATTAAAGGTTTCTTGGATGATCATATTAAATGAAAAGAAATTTCATTTGCTTCAACTTAAGTAACATTGTGAGCAAATGTTACATAGACATAAATGCATTTCTAAATAGAAACCTCCTTGCTAACCCATGACCATCATGCCTATAATAAATTTATGCATTTGCATCTGTATGCAGTCTTATTTCTAGCAGCTTAAATTCTCATTTCTCAATAAATGATGTTTTTTGGAGCCTATCATAATCATTTTAAAAGTTTTGTCTTTCAAGGTTTCTTTTTGCTTCTTTCTTCCCCCCTTTTTGTTGATTCTGCCTTTTTGCTAATGTAAACATTCCAATATAACCTATGTAGGTTTTGGATGTCTACACTGGACCAAATGGTTTGCTTTATGGTGGAAATATCGTGAGGCCACGACTATTGATAAATTCATCTACCATTGATCCAGAAACATCAAGAAAGCTTTCTGCAACTGTGTCTAACTTTGTTTTAACAGAGAAGAAAGGTATAACTTCCAAAAAAAAAAAAAAGTACAAATCAAATTGTTTCCATAATAGAATTTTCAGCCATTGTAGTTATGTATGATTTTCCATTCTACCCAATCTCCAATCATTCAGTACATTTTTATAGCAATCATGTGGCTGTTTCCTTGGTCTTGACTTCAAACCTCTGTCCCATGGAGATGAATTGTTTAAACTGCAGAATCATTTTTGGTTTCCACCGTGATCTCTTTTACTTTTCTCCTTCTGTGTGCTGGCGGATGGTGGGAGAGAATGCTGTACTTGAACTCCTAGTGACAATTGGAAACCCCTATAAGTTCAGTTTCAATTTTCAAATGTTTGGAAATTGGACTTAATACTGCTATTTTCTTAAAGATTGAATAATACCTCATTCTTCCTCTCCAACCAAAACTCTTCTGTTTAACATTGAACAATATGTTTTATGCAGACCAATGGGAGAAACCTGTCATGTTGGATGCTCCTGTCTCCGGAGGTGTTCTTGCTGCAGAAGCAGGTACTCTCACTTTTATGGTATGGCTTCACCTCTGACTTCTCTTCTAATGAATATATTTGATTACTGATCATATGGCAATCATAATGATTCAATTTGGCGTAAAAGCTTAAGATCTATGTTTCTAGGAGTGGGTTATTCAAGTGCTTATGTGCCCATCCATTCCCCATCTAACATTTTGAAGTGAGTTCAGGGTATCACATTATACACCCTAAATTGGTTCTAGGGAAGAAAATAAACAGGAGAGGTTGTGGTTTTAACTGAACTGAATATGGCCTTGGATCCAGTGGTACTTTTTTTTTTTTTTTTTTCATAACAGGAGAGGTTGTGGTTTTTAATGAACTGAATATGGCCCTTGGATCCAGTGGAGCTTTTTTTTTTTTTTTTTTACAACTGTTTTTTTTTTTTTTTTTCCAACTGCTGGTAGCCATGTGTATACCTTTGCTGGATATTGTGTTGGCAAGATAAAGAAAAAAAAAAAAAATGAATAGGCAAAATTTTCTTTTTGTTTCTTTAGGTACATTTGGAGGCCCACTGAGTAGAGGGATAGACAAGGAGATTAATTCTCTTTAATCTAATAAAACACCTACACATATTATTTGAACCTGGGTTCTAATTTTGGTATTCTTAAGTTCAAATAATAGGTGTCCCTTACGGATAAAGTATTAAGTTTTTTACCAAAGTAGTTATATGACATCTTTTCTTATACAATGGTCAGTCTCCCTCACTATTCAACTTGCATGGTTCATTTCTTAGTTATTACATCCCATAGATCATAATTCGCATCCGTAACTGTTAAGCCAATTTTGCTCACTTGTGATAATACTGGAAGACAAGACCTAGAATCAAACCTAAACCATCTGAACTCCAAAAGAAGACCAACTTGCCAATTGGTAATTTTGAAGGGGGGAAAATTTCAAATCTAATCAATGATTTTAGTACATGTTATTCCATGGAAAATACATCTACATTTGACAATTGTTACTGGTGTCCAATGTTTCTTTCACCTCAGTGGCAGATCTGCATCATGGTGGAGTTTTGTCTGTATTTAACAAATGCGTGATATCATTTTTTCCCTTAGGTGCACTAGTGAGAAAGGGGAAGCATTTTGGTATGCCAAAAGATTAAAACAGTTACAGAAATGATTTGATTTCTGAACATGTTAGTAAAGCATATGGCCCAAGACAACTTTGAGATTAAGTTTTCAGTTCAATTGAATCAGATAATTTTCCCATTTCTTATTTCTCCTTTGAATACTATAAATTCTTTTTCCACAGATTTGTTGAAGTTTGTTTGTGGTGATTTATTTTAGCAACAGCATTATTTCTTATTAGATAACAAGCTTATGAATGGAGAGCATATTATTATAATAATAAAGAAAATGTTACTTTTAGGGGCATCATTGTTTTTTTGTAATATGCTTTTCATGAACAAAGATATGTCATCCAGGTTGGTGGCTGCGAGGAAGCTTACCTTGCTGCCAAATCCTTGTTTTTGTCCATGGGCAAAAACAGTATTTATTGTGGTGGAGCTGGAACTGGTTCAGTAAGTTCTCATAAACAGTCAAATCTAATACTCTTCAATCATAATTTTAACCTTTTTTTTATTATTATATAGCTCTGCATTATTGGTTTTTTCTTTTTTAATTTGAAGGTTTATGTATTAGTAACAGAAGATATCAGATTTAATATGCGTTTATAGTGTTCCTGTTGCATCTTTTCTTTTCATTGCGGGCTTTATTTCTTCGTACTTCAATTCTTGTATTGATGGGTTGAAAAGAATGCAATTTTTATTATTGCAAAGAGTTGGAAATTTGTATTTATCAAGGATTAACATTGGCCTAATGAATAAATTTGCCCTTAAACTTTAAGATTTTAGTCTTGTGGTACCTCAAAGTTTTCAGATGACCTATGATGCCCCTAAACTTGCCTCTTTTTTTTTTTTTTTGAAACAACAATGCACCCGGCAAGGATGAGATTTTCCCATGAATCACAGACACAGTGACATGGATCAGGTCACTAGGTGCATGGTTATTAAAAAAAAAAAAAAAAGCCAAGTTCAGGTGCATGATGAGTTATTCGAAAACTTTAGAGTGCCATGAGGTAAAACTGTAAAGTTCGGGGCAAATTTATGCATTAAGCCGAATAAAATTGTTAGGACAATTTTGAAGCAGTTATTTGTCCTTGCTATGGTTGTGTCTTCTGAAAATAAATTGGACTCTAGAGCATCCCACCGAGCAATTTAAGCTTTATCTGATCAAATTCTCTCTCTTATGGTAGTTAGTATGTTTGATATGCTGCAGATTTTGTAAAATTGAAAAAAACAAGGGGATGGCTGGTAAAAATAAACCATAGTCATACATGCTTTTAGCAGTCCAATTCACAAATAAATTAGTGTATAAATAGAAAATGTATTTTTTGTTTCACCCTGCCAGGATTTATTTTTAAGCATCTGATATCTTTATTGTTGGTTTTGTTATTTAGGCAGCAAAAATTTGCAACAATTTGGCGATGGCTGTGAGCATGATTGGAGTATCGGAAGCCCTTGCTCTTGGTCAGTCACTTGGCATTCGTGCTGACCCTCTATCAAAGGTTTTTAACTCTTCAACTGCTCGATGTTGGAGTAGGTATCGCCTACTTTTCTACTGTCCCATTTATATATTTATAACTTTATTTCAAATGATGTCACAACAAAAAAGCCAGCCTCTTGGACCAATCACACTGTCAGTTTGATTTAACTTGTGCTCGAGGACCATAATATGTGATCATGAATTTAAAATTCCATCTGCACAAGGAAATAAATTAAGAAATAAAGATCAGCTTGTCATTGGATAGTCTTGTGAAGTTTACACTGCTCTCCTGTAAAACTTGCCTTTAGGACTTCCTTTCTTTTCCTTTTTCATGCTTGCACTAGTGCAATTGTTAAGAAGTTATTCTGAGGCACATTTCGAAATTGTAGGGCTGAAAATGGGGTCCTTTTTATGTGTGAGTTGAACATGCAGATATCAGTTCTCTATGATATGCAGAAAGCAAGAATGACATTTCTCTCCCATGTTGAGCTCTGCTGATGTTGAGTCTTGCACTCTAACCTTCTGTTTTTATTAAACCTCCAATATGGCAGTGATAGTTATAACCCAGTTCCTGGAGTAATGCAAGGGGTTCCTGCTTCTAGGGATTATACTGGTGGATTTTCATCTAAGCTCATGGTAGGTGGTCTTAGCCTACATTTGCTAATTTTTAAATGTGTTTCGAGGACTGTTTTCAATTTATTAATTTAACCAATCCCATCACTGGAATAAGAACCTTAATAAAATGAAAGAACAAAAATGTATTCGGGCAAGTTTAATTACTGAATCACTTTTTAAATAGTATGTTCCAAGCAAAGCGAGTTGGTCACTATAACTACTGATCTCAGAACCAGGAAAAGAAAAAATAAACTAATCATTGTTAGAATCTATATCTTCCTATTTTCTGCATTCAAGTTTTACCTATGTCTTTTTCAGTCTGACACTCTTATAACAGAGCTGTGGCTACTCAAAAAGCCAAATATTGGTTGGATATTCTTACTGAAGCCTGTCCATAGATATCTGTCTGGATGACTGATGAGTTATCTTTTGATTTTATTTTCGTTTTTCCAAATTTTATTGATGATGGAAAATGCTTGTCATGAAATAATATAAGAGAAGATTGAATGGTGGTAGTTCATTTTGAGAATTAAAAAGATTATATTTGATCCATGTATGTTATCCCTGTAGATTTTTTTTTTTTTTTTTTTTTTTTTTTTTTTTTTTTTTTATTGATGATGGAAAATCCCTTGTCATGAAATAATATAAAGAAGATTGAATGGTGGTAGTTCATGTTTGAGAATTAAAAGATTAATATTCTGATCCTGTATGTTATCCCCTGTAGATTTTTTTTTTTTTTTTTTTTTTTTTTTTTTTTTTTTTTTTTTTTTTTTTTTTTAATTTTAATTGACTGAATGTCAGCTGAAGTTGTGCATGTGTGTCCATACGTGTCTGCTCCACAATGCATATATTTATTGTGACCATGCAGAGTTTGTGTGTGCATTGTGTTTCTGAAATGGATTTATATTGTCTCTCTTCAAATTATGCTGTTAGAGTCGATGTGGTTCACCCTTTCAAATAGGAAGTAGGATTACGTGACATTGATTGGCATATACCAGATAAATTCCAACATCAATATATCGTGACTTTAGCGTCTAACTCAAAAACCATATATCCATTACTCTCTTTCTAGCATTCTTATCTTACAGTATTTCATGATAATACATCTCAATTTGCATGCTCTTGGGTCTTCAAGCTTTTACTGTTTGTTCCTATTCGTATAGTTTTCAAGACTGGCACTTCTTGTAGAATAAGGGTAAAAGACTTGAAATTACATACATAAACTTTGCTTGAATTTAATAAAAATGATAAATTGCAAATCTGTTCTACAATTCATTGAAATTACAACTATCCGTTCCGGATTTAAATTTACAATCAATTCTCCTGATGTGTATTTATTTATCTTTATATTTTGCTGGGCTATATGGTAGCCATCTACCTTTTTTTGAAACAAGAAGGTATTCTAATCTCATATTAGTGAAATTTATCTATCCTCCAGATTATCTGCTACATTCTACCTTTTTTAGTTGTCTGATCATATTATTGTATGGTTCAGACCAGGTAATGGATTTCCTCATACCTAAGCAACTGGTCTGACAAATGGCATTGATTTTCTTGTACTGCTTTTAGTTTTTGAGGGGTGAATCTGAGTGTTGATAATATTTTCTCCAGGCTAAAGACTTGAACCTTGTTGCCGCATCGGCCAAACTGACTGGTCTTAAATGCCCTCTGACATCCCAAGCATTAGAGATGTAAGTACCTTTACCAGAAGAAGTAACCACCTGTTGAACCAAGCAATATTTCTTTGGTCATAATTCCCTGGAATGTTTTCTTTTTCGACTTTTGATTGACTTTGCTCATATGGAACTTCCATTTTTGGTTCCATTGAACTGTTTTCAATTGGTATTTAGTGTATTCTCACTAGGACATAATCTACAAAATTTTTTGAAGAACGTGGACATTAAATTTTTTAACGTTCAAGTCTCAGCAATATTAAAATTTTTTACAAAAAAATAAAGAAAAAGAAAAAAATTGATATCCTGAGTACCGAAAAGTGGAATAGGTATTTTTATATGTAACAGTAGAGCCTAATTATACTGGCAGATATGACCTGTTATTTGCATTTCTAAAGCTCTGAGTCCTGCAGCCATAACAGTTTCTGCAGAAACTGTCCAGTGAAAGCAATTTGTTGTGATCCAATCACTCTTGTACTCCTTATCAACACTGGTTGGTATATATCTAAAATGAGGGAATTTTCTAATGAAATTCTTGAAATTCCAAATTCCACTCCATTTTTTAGCTGCCAAATTGTAAAATTCTCTTTCTTTTGATTTATGTGAAAAATTATATATGTTAATGAATACTGCATGTAAGTTTAGGAAGAACTTTACAATCGTAATATGTCAAACTATCCTATGCTGATGAACTATTGTTTTTCTGCAGATACACTGAGCTCTGCGAGGATGGTCACGAAATGAAGGATTTCTCCTGTGTTTTTCGCCATTATTACTTTGGCAAGGATGAGAAGTAGCTTCATAAATGCGAGGTATTGATTATGGGGGAAAGGAAAGATGGAGCAAACTCATTCTACTTTGAGGTGGGGATCAAAAACAACGTTAGAAAAGTGCATGATGTCCGTAAAAGGATCGAACTCAAATTTAGGCTTGATACAAGCTCGAGTTTAAGCTCGTATTTAGGCTCATTAAGAGCTCGATACAAACTCGAATTTGAACTCAATAATAGCTAATCAATAAACTTTTTTGCTTAATACTATTTTAATAACTATTTTTATTATCAAAAAATATTGCTTTCAATTAGAAACACAACAATACTATCCTTATCATTATATCATTATAGAGGAGAAACATTAGATTTTTTTCCTATGCTTACGTGATGTTTTGGTTAAAGAGTGAGATTATACATGACTTAAGTATTTGGTTTTTACTTGCATGAGAAAAATTTCAGATTTCACTAAAAATAATAAAAATTAAAATTGCCTAAAAGGTTGCTTTCCTTAATTGATTATTTTAACAACCATCATTTTAATAACCTACAACCTCTCTCTAAGTGTTCCCTTCACCTTCGAGCTCCTTTTTCTCTCTCCGTTCATCTTCTCCTTTCATGTCCAATCCTCTACTGCGATCAGTCAATGACGATTAACATAGAAAGAAAAATATCACTACTGCCATCTTCTTTTCCTTTCCAATCAAACCTCAGCCAGAATTGCCCATTAGAAACATAATTTTACAAATAGGATTAAAGGTAAGGAGCTATCTATTTGCTTCTTTGATCTCTTCTATTTATTGCCTGCTGATAATTTGTCTAGATGGTCGATGCCCCATTGAAGTATGCCTCTCTCGTAGCTATTTTTCTTCTTTTGTTTCTTTACCGGTTTATCAATATTGGTATCTGATTTGTCTGCTTCTTTTAATTTCTTCCATTTACTGCTTGCTTTAAAATTGACATTCGGCTATTTATGTTCATAAATAATTGACTTAGCTCTTGGAATGGGTTTGTAAGGCCTCCTATCTCACCATCTCCCAAGAAATGCAATCAACTACTTCAAAGAATTTGTTGCTTATTACTGCAGAATCGGGATCTCATGTCGGTGAACCCTTATCATGAAAAGTTGAATTTTTTAATTAAAAATTTTAATTATCTTTTCTGAAATTCAATTTAGCCAATTTGAAAATTTTTAAGATCTTTAAATTCGATTTTATATTTTATATTTTGTATTTTGTATGGCTAGATCTTGCATAATAATTTGTTCTGCTTTCCTGTTTTTACATGCTTTAAGGGATTTTGGTATTTGAAAGCATTTTCATTGTCAAGGACAAACAAACAAACAACTAACATGCGTTAAATGTTTTCTCTTCTCTAGGAATAAGTGAAGAGAAGACATTATATGTTGGTATTATTGTTGTTTTTTTTTTTCATTAGTTTTCAAAGTTTATATTGTTTGAAAATTTTGGTGGTTGATTTCTTTTTTTTTTTTTTTTTTTTTTAAAGTTTATATTGTTTGAAAAATTTTGGTGTTGATTCTTTTTTTTTTTTTAATTTTTTACTGTTTTATATCTGAACTTAACTTTAGGTATTTAATAGTTAATTCGATATCTTTTCATCTATTAAGCGAAAACACTGATTGGAAGTTATTTATCTATGCCATGGCAAATTTTCGTTTCAATTAATAAAATTTAATAATGCGATGAAAAATAATGTAAGAAATTGATATAATAGATTTGCTTCACTAGGTAAAGAAATTCTTTAGTTATACAAGGATTTCAAAAATGGAAATTAATTTTTTTTTTTTTTTTTTTTTTTTACTGTGTTTTATTTGTAATTAAATTGATATTTATTGGATTATTCGATATCTTTTTTCATCTGATATAAAACATGATGAATTGAATTATCTATGGGCCATGGCAAATTTCGTTTCAATTAAAAAATTAATTCAAATCATGAATAGTTAGAAATTCAATTATTTGGCTTCACAGGTAAAGAAATTCATTTAAGTTATACGGTTTCAAATTGAATAGATATTTATTAAAATTTCGTAAAGAAAATAACTTTCTAAATTAAAACTGTATTTTTTTTTAAATAAATATTATAGGCATCACATTATTATTTTAGATAATTAAAATTAAAATTGTGTTTTTTTAAAGGAGTTAATATTTTATGATTCGTAGAGAAAATCAAATTTCAAAATTTGAATGTCACCTTTTTTTAAATGGAAGCACACGTTAGTTGCCTTATACGGTTGAGCTTTAATAGAAATTAAAACTGAGTTAACAAATTATATAAGGCAATAGGCGAGGCTAGTACGAGACTCTAAATCACGACGGATAAATCGACGGATCTTAGGAAATAGAATGGGACAAGCCTCGTATCGGTGTGACCCTTCCTCACAAAACTAAAAGGAAAAGGTTTCTTGTGAATCATCTTTTGGTACGTCTGGAAAATTCTTAAACGATGAATACTTTGTAATCCACTAATTGACGTTCGTTCTCTAAATTGAATTGCAATCAAATTTGGTCTAATGAAAAAATCAAATTTAATGAGGATTTTGTTCGTCCCACACGTACAAGCCTTTCCTGCGCAGCTTAGGTGGAAGGCGAAGAAGGCCCCCTTCCGAGGGGGTTTATTAACTCAATTTTAATTTCTATTGAAACTCAATTATATAAGGTAACTAACGTTTGCTTTCATTTAAAAAAGAAAACATTCAAATTTTGAAATTTGATTTTCTTTACGAATCATAAAATTTTAGTGATTGAAAATCTTCTAATAAATGTTAATTGTCTTTTATAATTCTGACTTAATAATATTAATAATACTACAAGTGCAAAAAAAAATATATTATATTGATAATAATTAAAATATAAGATTTTGATATTCTCCTTTTTATTACAAAAATTTTTCAGCATGAGCCTTTTATTGCCTTTTCTAATATCAAAAGAAAATGACTTTATAAATTATACAGTTTCAATTTAGAGTAATAATGGAGTGGAGAACGGATATTTGGCAACAATTAAATTATAGGTATCATTTTAGTATTTTAGATAATTAAAATTAAAATTTTTTTTGGAAGGAGTTAAAATTGAATTAATATACATTAACGATTCAGAAAGAAAATCAAACGTCAAAATTTGAATGTTACTTTCTTTAAATGAAAGCAAATATTAGTTGCCTTATATAATTGAATTTTAATAGAAATTAAAATTAAGTCAAAAAATATTAATGATGTTTAAGAAAAATTAATATTCAAAATTTAAATGTTACCTTCTAGAGAGTGGAATTCAAAACGAAATTAAATGCTTCATTTTATTGATTTAAATTGTCTTTGTAATTTTGCTTTAATAATATCAATAATACTACAAGTGCAAAAAATACTATTATTACATTATAATAATTATATTAGAATTGTTAAAAATTAATATTTATTAAAATTGCGCATAGCACGGCTAGTTTTATTAATCAGAAGATATGTTGACTGTAGTTTCTCCTTTAGATTGTCACTCTAGAGAATTGCTTCCGATGATATGGTAAAATTTTCTTAATTGATCAGTTTTCAAGATTGATTTCATAAAGTTGGAAACAAGAAGATAAGATAGCGAGTAGTTTTTTTTTTTTTTTTTTTTTTCTCTTGTCTTTGTTTGTTTATAATTTCATTTATTGAATAAATTATTTAGTCTAAGTCTTTATTTCTCCCCCATTCTTATATAGTTTCAATAGTTAAATAATAAGTTTTTTTTTTTTTTTTTCTCTTTTGGTTTGTTTGGTTATAATTTTCAGTTTTTGAATAAATTATTTAGGTATAAGTTTTGTTTCCATTCTTATGATAAGTTTCAATGTAAATAATATTTTAGAATATTTAAATTCACTTTACGGTTTGTATGCACTACAATTTAATGATTATTGAATTTACCATATGAGAAGGCTGCCTATGTATTTTTTTTCCTGATTTTGATTTAAATACAAAAAATTGGGTTGGAATTAATAGTTTTAGCTTTTAAAAATTATATATATTTTTTTTACAAATTACAATTTTCGATATCTATATAGTTTCTTTATTCACTATTCTATTTTTCTTTTTGTTTTCTCAAAATTTTTAAATTTATTTCTAATTTGATATTTTAATTTGGTTCTTCAGCTTATTACTGATTAAAAGAAAAATATTGTGGTCTTTTATTATTTTGTTTGTGTTGTTTCCATAGTTTTGTTTTTTTCAATTTCATTATGACTTTGTATTTTGCTAATTTTAGTTTCTTTTTGTTTGGTTTTATAGGGTTTAAAGCGTGTGCAATTCAAGATGATCTAAATATGGTTTATGCGATAATTAATTAACTATTATATTTTAATATGTTTTTTTTAATTATATACTCTATCAGATTAAATCTCCAAAAGAAAAAAAAAATAGAAATCAAGTATTTAAACCATTTTAAATCTTCTACTAAGTCCATTTTATTTCTAATAATAATTCGAGTCACTTCTTTTTAAAAATTAATTTTTTGTAATTTATTCGACATACTATCTTACATTTACACTTAATAAAAAAACATAAGTATTATACAATCACACGAAGCGCGTTCATTGCTTAGTTAGAAGTATTTGTTATAATATTAATATTATAAAGTTTAATTTTAAATTTGTAATATTTATTAGGTATTTTACCTATTACCTATAATTTTTTTTATATGGAAATATAATTCATTAATAATAATATCAAAAATTAGAAATATTCGTATAAACCATACAACTTTACTGTTAGCAGCTAATAAAATTTGCTGATTTTTTAATAATAAAAAAAAGAAACCTTATTCTTTTGAATACTAAACCTAAAATAAAAAATATATAATACTAGATCTTTTCCGTTTGGTGTTAACTTTAATAAAATATATAAATTTTCATAACAACTACTGATACGTTAAACGAAACTTGCTAATTTCTCGATAACAATCTTTTTAAGCCAACAATCAAATTTCTGTAACGCATTAAAGAACTCCAGGAAGATCGAATGATGGAAATAGCTGCCTAAGAATCAGATTGAACTTCAATCTACAATAGCCTTTGAACCACGCAAGCAACAGTCCTTGAAAAATCCTGTAAATCCCAGCCTCCACCGCACTACAGATCCCAATATGCAACATAGAAACCCACAAAGCCAGCTGTATCAATCATCTCGGAGATCCTCCACAACCAGCGGTTTCCGAATTGCCTTTGGAAAATTCATCCGAGTTGAGAACAATCCAAGCCATGAGGAGGGAGAGTCCAACAGATATACTGAGTATGGGGAGCCCGGTCCCCATGCACAATAGCATCATTTCCAAAGCAACTTATGGTGGAAGGCGGAATTTTTCTTTTATAAAATTTTATAGAATGGGAATCAAATTGCCTTGCCCAAGAAGTTTCGAACCTCACCTAGCAAGTTGCTGCCAAACAAGAGTCAAATGTATACTAACAAATGTCTCAAAAATTGGATTAAAATTAAAAAATAATATCATTTCATATATTTTTCTACGGTTCTAATTTTACAAGTTACTACTATTAACTTTTATTTTTTAAAAACAAATTATTTTCAACCTACAGTTTTATTAAATTAATCTAGCTAAATTGGTTAAGTTAAATAATTATTTTAGTACCCTTTCAAAAAAAAAAAAAAAATGTTTTAGTACTTTTGCTCTAAAAAACAATAATTATTTTGATACTCTAAAAAGATTATATCGCATGCTCGTAAGAATAGGTTCACTTCTTTTTTCCGTCGCAAATTATAATCGTACTTTATTAAAAAAAAGTCTTATTAATTTCCTATTTTAAAAAAGATAATATTTAAAGATTTTTTATTTTATTCTTATTCATTTAATATTGTATCTTTATCAATGAACATAGAACTATGGTAATTTTTTTTTATTCATTGTAAGGTTGAAATTGAAACAAAATTATAATTTATACTTATAATACAACCAAACTTACTGGTATCAAATTTTTTTTTTGGTAAAAACTACCAGTATTCGGATCCTATTATAGAGACTGCCGAATTCAATTCAAAGCTTAATCATAGTTAAGGTTTTTTCCTCCTCCTTACAGATATATTTAGTGGAAATCGAATCCGAAAACTTTTCTCACGTACTGAACTTGCATCGCAAAATGAGTCACTACCGTAGTTTATAAGTATCAAATTTTAAAATAAATAATAACTAGTTAAAATATCAACTTCCATATTCTTAAATTAGAAAAAAAATCCTAACATATTAGGAAAAAAAAATAAAAACCATGATTTAACTATATTGATTATAATTTTTTTTTTATTTTTGTGAAAAATTAAACTATGTATTATTTTGAAGGGGCGAAAAGACAATACTAATTTCCTGAAACTAATAATATTAGATTTGGAGGTGATTAGTTTCACTGATTAGAACATGTAAAAAATGCAAATCTTTTTTTTTTCCTTGCTTCATCTTACAGATTTTTCGTTGACCTATTGGTCAATGGTCATCTCCTCTGATATTCTTTTTTTATTTTTTATTTTGAGGAGAATTTCTGATATTCTTTCTGTTTATTAATTTTCCAATATTTCTAATTTTTAATAATATAATTAATTAACTATAAATAACGCCTTTCCCTCCTCTCTCTTGCTCTCCCTCGCTGTCTCTCTTTCTGAGAAGTGCAAACAAGTAGAACTCCAAAAACCAGCCAAAACCGAAAACCCAACACATTGCTCAATTTTAGAGAGGTACCATAATTTCTTTCTTTCCCTTTCTGTCTCTATTTTTCTCTCCCAATAGTCAGAGGTATCATGGGTTCTTTCTTTCTTTTCTGTCTCTCTTCTTCTCTCCCAGTAGTCACAGTTGGCTTTTATTGAAAGTTTAAGGCAATCTTTTGAAATTTGCGTGTGGGTTCTTTGAAACTATCTTTTTACGATGGTGTGCTTGAAGCTTTGTTTCTTCTGTGTTTTCAAGTTCGTGCATTTTTCTCTTCTCAATTTGTCATATTTATTCATTCTAATTTTCTTGCTTTTGTTAGTAGTTTTATTTCGCTTCAATTTTTGCTATACGCGTGCAGAGACACTGCCTAAATGTTTGTATGCACTCGGAAAAAGAATTTGGATATGAAAAGTTTGCTTCTTGTCTTGATAACTGCTGCGGATTTAATGCGGTTGAATTTGGTTTTAGAATTAACTTTAATTTTCTATGCTTTTTTGCCTGGATTATATTTCTGAAGTAAATTATAGTTTCAGTTGATGAATTTTAAGAACCAAAGGACGATATGCTAAGGGAAATTGATATGGGGATAATAAATAGAATCAATTGTAGAACAATAAAACTGTTATTCATGGATTTCTCTTTTTTGTTTTTGTTTTTGTTTTTGTTTTTTTTTAAATTTATCAACATTGGATTGACGTGTCTTATAAAAATGTTTCATTTCATTTCATCGCACTTCATTGAAGATCAAATTTTAGACAAATATTATCAATAATGAGGTTGTGGCTTGTGCCATTTTGGACCTTGTCCTTCATGGTGCAGGGTTGGGGTAAGGCTTGTGTAGTCCTAGGTTTGAAATGTACTTATCAAAGATGGTGATTAAATTTCCAATTTGATTAAGTGTAAACACTCTCGCGTTGCTGCCCAAGTTTAGGCGTACATTAGCCTGCAGTTTTTATAACTTCTAATGTAAAATTGTCTTTTTTATGAAATGCTGCATATGCGGATGGCTGTAGGGGTAAAGAATATTATACACAGGGGAAGGTGTTTGCAGTAGGATTGCAATGTCATAATATAGTTTTTGAAGTTCTTACAATGTACATAGTTGTCAATCGAGAATCAAGAATCGAATCGTAAAGATTCAGAATAACTTTTTAAAATTAATGTAAAATAAATACATATATATTTATGGACATATTTCCATTAATTTTATGAAAAGATACTAAAAAATTCAGTTGCAAATAATGTATTTATATACCTTTTAATTCTAAATCATTTACTAAACACGAAAGGAAAGAGACCTAATGACTTGTGTAGTTGTCGAGTTCAAAATATCAAACTATGAAGCTAAATTCATAAAACCAAAGTGAAATTATCAAGCCACAAGAATTTCCTACCCAAATCCATATTTATTCATTATCATTTTCAAATTCAAGCCTTTTATTATCTCCGTCTTCTAATAGAACTATATGTCCATATTTATATAGCTCTTCTTTCTCTGTATTGAATTTTTCCACTTGTTTTGTTGGTTAAGGGAATAGTTGAACATGAGAATCAACTCGAATCGTAAGATTCGAATCACATGAATCGTAAGATTCACGATCAATTCCGATTCACCCATAAGATTCGAATCGTTTAGTATAAAAATTGAATCGAATTGTAAGATTCTGATAACACCTGTTCCTGTGATTGATTACTTATGAATATAGTTGGCTTTGATTTGAATTTTAGTTTGTGCAGGATATGAGTAGCACTTTATTAATTCATAAACTCATTTAAACTGAAGTCTGCAGCTTTCTGATGGAAAGTAGAGGATGCCCAGCAGTCACAGCGAGAACGAAAAATCATACACCTAAAGCTATTATATACCAAAAGTTTGGTACCAAAGCTTGCTATAAGGTAGAGGAGGTGCAGGGGCCTGCACAAAATGGATGCCCAGGCTTGGCAATTCCGCAAAAGGGCCCCTCTCTCTATCGCTGCAGCTTAGAGCTTCCTGAAATTTCTGTTGTTTCAGGTACCTTTAAAAAGAAGAAGGATGCTGAGCAATGTGCTGCAGAGATGGCTTTAAAAGAGGTAGGCTTCAGCCTCAAATTATTGTCTACTGCAGCTGCCTTATGTTTGAGCTCTGCCACTAAGAATGTTCCCAATCAATATTGTTACCAAATATTAGATGGATATACAAATTGAATTTCTTTGTCAATTCAAGGCGCTTTTGGTTATTTCTGTTGCTTGATAGCTCCATCTCAGTTTTAGCATCAATGTTTTGGTATTTTTCTTAAGTGCTTTCAGTTATCAGTTACACTGTGCAAGTATGCATGCCTGCATGTCTCAATGGGCTGATCAATAAGATTTGCATCTACGTCAATTTTCTTTTTTAATTTATAATGAAATACAGACATCAATGCATATAATAGGCGTGTGTTCAATTAGTACAACACGAGAACATCAAATAAGAATCTTATGCTGAATGGTCATTTGCTGCAAATAGAATGGTTTTGAGATATATGGTTCTGAACATGTGTGTGTGTGTGTGTGTGTGTGAAATCCTGTTCATTTCCCCTTTCTCTTTGTATGATGGATCCTAGATATTTATATTTGAAGTGTGTTTTTTTTTTTTTGGACCCATCCTCTAAGCCAAATCGACCTCCATCTCTTCTTCTTCCATTGCCAAAGCTCAAAGTTGCATTGATGGAATATTGCTCTTAAGCCAAAGCCCAAAGTTGCATTGATGCACTATTGCTCTTAAGCTTAAACTCCTAAGAAACAAAATTACAACATGTTTTGCTTGGTGAGATTAAGTAGTTCTCTGGATATTGCATTTGGTTATGTGATATTGCGGGTGTTTACTGTTCAGTTTTTTCTCATAAATCTTTCAGATCATTGTCTTGTTTTTTTCTTGCTTGTGCAGAAGCTCAATTGATTTACCTGAAGAAGGCTGTTTTTTTTTTCCTTATTATTTCTTTTATCTATGTTTTTTATGTTGCAGCTAGGCATCAATCCTGCAGTTGAGAATCAAACTGAGCAGGATCCTTTGGATGCTTTAGTTGACCGTATGAAGTATCTATTCTCAGATGAGGTTGGTATTGAAATGAGTTGTTAACAGTTTGCTTTCCACTATAATGAAATAATCTCTTAATTTTTTTTCTAGTAGAAATAAAAAAATCAGCTAAAAAATAAGCAGTTGCAATTTCAAGTGTTGTGATTGCTTTCTTTTCCAGAAAAGAATAAAGGCATTCTTGTTATCTGTTTGTCATTATAAAGAGCATAATTTTAGTGTTATAAGTTAATAAGAAGGTTGTACTAAAATCCCAAGTTATGTGCCAAGACCTAATACTCTGTTAGAGATGCAATTATGGCAGTTTGCAGTTTAGTCTTCCTATTTAGTAGCTTTCTATTTTATTTTTGGTTGGAGATCAACTATTTAGTAGTAGTCTTTCTATTCAGTAGTCTTTTTATGTACTAGTTTCCTATTTCTCTTTTTGGTGGGAGACCTGCTATTTATTAATCTTCCTATTTAATTGTCTTTCTATTTATTAGTCTAGCCATTTAGTGGGTTTCCTATTTTATGTATGGTAGGATATCTCATTCTAGTAGAATTACAAAAATTAGTACTTGTATTCCTCTATAAATTGGAGGCTTTAATCATGCAATAAAATAAGCAGAATTATTTTCAACTAAATCGAGGTCTAGACTTTCTCTAGTGAGTCTAAGGTTAAAGCTCCCTTTTAATGCGCTTGCAATTTTTAGCAACAATAGGTCGAGGAAAGAATCGTGGTAAAACAAAAGTTTTACCTTTTGAATAAGATTTTATCATTAACAGGCCTGTGACAAGATCCTGGTTGCGTGATCATAACAACTTAGTATTAGAGGCAAACGTCATGGGAGATTCAACCGGCAAGATCAAAGCTCTTTTACAAGAACTATAGGCACAAAATGAAGCTTGAATGCTCCAAGTTGAATCTCGACTTGAAACCCAACTGCAGATTCTAACTCGGCAAGTGCTGAAACTTCTTAGTGGATCAACCAAAAGTCAAAATAAGGGAATTGAGGAGACAAGCAACAATTCAACTCTACAAAAGAAAAACGGTGGAGTTGAAGAAAGGTTGAAGACATGTGCTGCTGCTGCAACAATTCCGCGATACACCAAATTAGATTTCCCTACATGTAATGGGTTTGATGATCCATTAAGTTGGCTTCACAAATGTGAACAATTTTTTCTTAATCATAAAACACAAGAGGTTGATAAGGTGGGCTTGGCAGCATTTCATATGGTTGGAGAAGCACAACTATGGTATTATAGATTGGAGCAAGAAGAACTTGGAATCTTGTGGGAAGTTTTCAAAAACTATTGCAATCTTCGTTTTGGCCCACCCCTGAAGGGCAATCCTTTGGGTGAATTAGGCAATTTAAGACAAACAGGTTCTATGGTGGAGTACCAAAGGCAATTCTAGATGCTATTAGCAAGGCCTACGACAGTCAGGAATGTCCAACAGGTCGATCTTTTTACAGCCGGATTATCAGAAAGGATGTCGAAATGCATAATCCACCTAATTTGATAACTGTGATGAACTGCACAAGGGCTTTTGAAAGGAAACAACAATTGGAGCAAGTCGGAAATACAACAATTGGTCCTTCAATATCGGCAAGCCAAAGATTCACACCTTCAATAGCTCATTCTACCAAAAACATGGGAGGAGCATTGACAACAATTACTGACAACATTGGTAGCGTTTCCACTCCTTTGTGAAGCGATTAAATCAGGCCGAAATAGCTGAAAGATGGACCAAAGGGCTATGCTATAATTGTGATGAACCATATTCCATTAGGCATCAGTGCAAAAGATTATTTTCGGTAGAAATACTAGATTTGAATGCAGACAAACGTTATTTTGGATAGAAATATTAGATCTGGATGCAGACTCCCATAAACTCGAATCACATAAATCCGAAGAACAAGAAATTTCTTTGCACGCAATTACGGGCCAACAACATGCCCAACTTGGAAGTAGTTCTCAAGCTTGAGGGCAAGCCCTTTCTCCAGGAGGGGAGTAATGTTAGAGATGCAATTACGGCAGTTTGCAGTTTAGTCTTCCTATTTAGTAGTTTCCTATTTTATTTTTGTCAGGAGATCAACTATTTAATAGTCTTCTTATTTAGTAGTTTCCTATTTCTCTTTTTGGTAGGAGATCTGCTATTTAGTAATCTTCCTATTTAGTTGTCTTTCTATTTACTAGTCTAGCCATTTAGCAGTTTCTTATTTTATTTATGGTAGGAGATCTCATTCTAGTAGAATTACTTTAATTAGTGCTTGTATTCCTCTATAAATTGGAGGCTTTAATCATGAAATAAAATAAGTGGAACTATTTTCAACTAAATTGAAATCTAGACTCTCTCTAACAAGTCTAAGGTTAGGGCTCTCATTAACGAGCTTGCAATTTTTGGCAACAATAGATCGAGGAAAGAATCGTGGTAAAACAAAGGTTTTACCTTTTGAATCTGATTTTATTGTTAACGGGCCCGTGACGAGATCCTGGTTGCGTGATCATAACATACTCTCTCCACATAATTATTATCCCTGTTTCTCCTTGGTTTCTTTTTTTGTATGGCTTTCAGTGTTATGCTTGCTCATTATTAAGAAACTTAAGCAAACTCTTTTCTTTTAAGCTTTCATTCCCTGAATCTACTCAACAATGTAAAACTCAGGGAGGTAGATTTTATAATCTCATGCCTGTTTAATTGCTCCAGTTATATGCATATGTGCTATAAGTCCACTTGGCAATTGGTTTTCATGGCAGCGTGTTCTTTATCTGTTGTATGTTTATGCTACTGACTTCTTGTGCTTATTTTCCATGTGTAAAGTTCCTCCAATCTCTTCAACCGTTGAGCGGTCACCTTAGAGCAATTTTGCAGAGAGATGGCGACCTCTGTGGTTCATTACCAGCTTCTGTTGTTGCTGTCTGCGATGCAAAATCAAGTAATCTTTGTAAATTACTCAATCCTAAGGTGGAATCAAACCCTTTCCTGGCTTTGTCATTTATCATGAGAGCAGCTGCAAGATTGTCTCGGTCTGGCATTAACACCAAGGGGCATCTTTCAATCCAGAAACAAATTCCCTACTCTTCAGGGACTGTAGAATTGTTAGATATCCAGAAATTGGTTTCCCCAGATAGCATAAGAGTTGAAGCTGTACATATTCCATCTTCTCTGGATAAGACTGTTCAACCAATAAGTCTTAATATTTCTTTAGCTGGGTATTACCTGGATGCTATAGCACAGAAACTTGGTGTGGCAGATGCCGACAAGGTTCTTCTCTCGAGGTGGGGCAGGTTATGATATGGACAAGTGTAAAAAGATATGTATTTTGTGCAAAGTGGTGTCCTTAGAGAAGTCCTGACTGTTTCTTTAACGATTTAATATTTGTCAACAGGACTATTGGTAAAGCTTCTTCTGAGACAAGATTATACTTTGTTGCTCCTGAATCATCTGTGTCTGATCTGCCAGCAGATATTGTAAATCTGGAAGGATCTTTGAATGCTAGGGCAAGTTACTTTTGTGCTCAAGCTATATATGGTGATGCAATAATGGCATCAATTGGCTACACATGGAGGTCTAGAGATCTTTTTCATGAACACATATCCCTGCAATCATGTTACAGGTTTCTTCTGATATCTTTTTCTTTATCCATCTTCATCCATTCATGGTTTTCTATCTGCATTGCTGCTCAAATCTTATTCCATTTCAGCCCCCAGTACTCTTTCTATAAGATAATGCTGGATTCATGTTTTGATAATAATATTGTTGTTAATGAACAAACTTCTTGGCAAAAATGATTCTGTTTGAGTGTCCTGTAAATTTATTATCTTGTGTTTTTTCACCAAATGATCTATTTGGTTTAAATGTTCTTTCTAGTGTCCATTTTGTTTTTAATCTTGCATAGAAAGTTTAGTCCTTGATTTGATATTTGATTTGTAACAATGTGGTCTGTTGTTTACATTTAGATCAATTTATTATTTAAATTTTCTTTTTGATTACTACCCTCACCTATGCATAAGACCAAATCCATTCAATTTCTAAAAAGGACTACAAATCCTTAACTTTTCAAGGAATCCTTCATCACTAACTGTGAATTTCACTGATTTTTTCAGTCTTTTTGACCTCTTGGTTGTATATGAGTTAGTCCAATGATTTGGATGTTTGTTCATTTTAAGATTGTAAGGTCTGTTTTCACTTTATTTTTTTATTTTCATTTTTTTTTCAATCTTTGAAGAATACTTTAGTTTTCTTACTACTACCATTTCATGCATATCTTACTGAGATGACTGTGATGGTATGTATTTTGTTTAATGAATTGCTCATTTGTGCTGCGCTTTATTGCAGCATTCATTTGGCTTAAATTTTCTTAATCTGTTGCTGTAGACTGTATCTCTCTTATGATGCACTCACAATTGTGTGCTGTGTTCCATTGTAATGAACTTTCAACCTTGCATGACTTAATCCTACTTAAGTGGACTTCTGTAGTATGCTTATAAGCAAGATGCCTGGTGGAAACTACAAGTTGTCCAGAGAAGCAATTCTTGCTGCAGAATTGCCCTCAATATTCACCACAAAATCAAATTGGAGGGGTTCCTTCCCAAGGGAAATTCTATGCTCATTCTGCCGGCAGCACCGGCTATCTGAACCTGTTTTCTCCACTACAACTCTGCCAGAATCATGCCTGTCAAGGTCAAACAAGAAAGTGAAAGTCACAGAGGCAGTTGAACAGAATACGGAGTATGCAAATGGAATAGGCACTGCTGTTGATCATCATAAATCAGTGGAATATGGAAGCATATTTAGATGTGAAATAAAAATATATTCAAAGTGTCAGGATTTGATCATAGAGTGTGCACCTAAAGGAATTTATAAGAAGCAGAACGACTCTATCCACAATGCTTCTCTGAAAGTTCTATCATGGTTGAGTGAATATTTTAAGGACCCTAGCATGCCTGTGGAAAACTTAAACTACTTGGCTGATGTCCTTGACATTCGATTTTGTCCTGAAAACTTCTTTAAAGAGTTTTTGTTGTGTCCATCTTTTCATAATATTCAGCATAGGGGGAAACAAGGAGGCAAATTAACAGAAGCAAGAAATATGAATGTGTCATCTACTTCACCAGGACAAGATGTTTGCTCTTTGAGCATAGAGGGTCCGGATTCTGGTGCGTATCCATCTAATGGATCTTTACTATGTATAAGTTATTCTGTATCTCTGGTGACAGATGACAACCAAGTGAAAGAGCTTCTTGAGAGCAATGATGAGTTTGAGTTTGAGATGGGGACGGGGGCTGTGATTTGCCCTCTTGAAGCAGTTCTGACACAAATGTCAGTAGGTCAGTCTGCTTTTTTTAGAATGGACCTACCTCCTCAAGAATTTATTTTAGCTGCAGCTGATGATTCTGAGAGGATTATTTCATTGTTATCATCACGTAAGTTATCCCAGCTTTCATTTCAATTTTATTTCTGTGCCTAAACTGAATGATAACTTTAATGCTTGTATGGGAAGGGAAAATGTAGAAAGAAAGGGGGCAGGGAAAGGCTCACTCCATTGTCTGGAAGAGCGAAAGAATTTTTGAGGAGAAGGATTTGTGAACAGTGAACTTTCTTGGGACCCAAAAAATGTTTCTATCCAAAATGGATTTATTGTCCCAAATTATTATCTTCTGTACCTACGCTCCAAATTTATACTTCTTTTTTCCCTCTCCACTACTTACGGCAATCTCTCGTCCATGACTGACTTAACATGCATTTGTCGTCCCTTTTTTGTTTTTTAATATTTATTGCAGTGATTTTTATATTAATTTTTCTCCACTAGATTAATTATTGCTTGTTAAGTCATTATTTATTACAATGCGAGGGCATTAGAGTAACTTTACTTTCAAATCCTTTTCTATTATTTTGTTCAATTTTCCAAAATAAAATTAATTTCCTCACTTTTTTTTTTCCCCTCCTTTTAACCTCTTCCCAAACAAGGTTAGGTAACATATATTATTTTCCTCCATTTTCTTTCCCCATCCTTTCTTTCCTTGCCTAACTTTTTTTTTCCCAAACAAAGCCTAAATGTTTTACCGGGGGAATGGCCAGAGGTATTACATTGCTAAAAATGTGGATTGAGTGATTATAAAGTTTCCCAATGATTTATGTAGTTTTGGATTTGAAGATCTGACTTGTTGCTCAAAATTATTCTTATTCTTATTATTATTATTATTATTAAAAACTCTTCTGTATTTTCTGGATAATTTCTAAGTATATTCTTTTCTGTCTATAATCACCAACATATGGTTAGGAATTACAGCATCCTGGATAAACATCCTGGATAAATTTCTCTATAGTTTTAAGAACTGGACCCAATGCGTGGAATTTAAAAAAAAAAAAATGATTCTCTTATGGCACGATAAAATTGCAGTTGTGGTGAACCACATTGCATGACATGATTTCTTGTATTGCCGATCCAACAGCCATTCATTTTTTAAAACAAAGTTTTTTGTAAGTATTTTTCATCGGAACAAGTTCAAAATTTCATGCTCAACATTCTCATTGAATTTATCTAGTTGAAAACCAACAGGATCTGATGCTTAAATCAAGTTTTCTCTCATTTTTTTTTTCCTTTTTGGAGTATTATGTCCAAATCAAGCTTTTGGGAACCTATGCAAAACCCTTTCCAAAAACTGTACTGAATCTCACAATTTTTTTTTTTTTTTTTTTTTTTTTTTTTTTTTTGGAGTTTATGTCTCCAAATCAAGCTTTTGGGACCTTGCAAAAACCCTTTCCCCAAAAACTGTACTGAATTCTCACAATTTTTTTTTTTAATATATATTTTTTTTTTTTTTTTTCGAATTAAGATCATCAACTTCATTGCGAAGTATTAGGCAGTGTTTGGTTTTCTTATGCCTAGGTCCCATATTTCAACAGTGACGTCTCTGCATTCGAAACTGGTTCAAACCGCAGTTAAATCAACAGTTACCATTATATTTCGGTGGTTTAGACTTTAGAGGAATTGCAAAACTTTTCATTCCAGTTCACAGTATTTAGAGAAATACTCCTGCTCAAAATTAGATGTGGACTTTTCCAAATATTCAATAGTTAAGGCTTTGAGTTCTTTAAAACTTGGGATTCTCAAGGTCTATGGTGCAAGTTAGCCTTAGGGGAAGGGATGGGACTCCAATTTGTATAGTTCCGGTAGGTTTTCTCAGGTAGCCAAAAGTGAATTGAACAAACTCTATTCTAGACTTCAATGCGAAAGAGTTTGGCAAAGAAAAGGGGATTTAGACACATGTTATAAGAACGATAAAGGGGAACTTTTATTGTGATAAATATCAATTCATTACATTTTTATTTACAACTATAATCTTGTTTTATGGATATCCTAACTTTACAGCAGCATTGTGTTTTCTTTTCAGAAACGCCTGCTTGTTCTGAACTACCATGTACTTTGTTGTCTGTGACTGAACCCAGAAGAAAGAATGGAGGCAGGCTCTTTTTAAGTCCTGCCACTTTCAAGCAACGGGCGGAAATATGGCGTGCGAAACAATATCAAAACATCTTTCTGCTGCTCACTTGGTATTTACACTACATTGCCCCTTTTTTTCACTTTTCTGTTTTTTTATTTAGTGTTATTTTGATCTCCCTTCAATATATAATCTTTCTCTCTCTTCCAGGCTTGATTTTGGATGTGTCTCTGGAAGTTACTGGCATTCTTTATTAGACTTCACCCAACTTACTTTGGAAAAAACTTCGTGAGAATTTGACATATCACAAAGATCTTGTCGTTTAGAGCTGCCAAGTCTGAATCCGTTACTGCAGATTTATATTAGTATTCAATTATTTAAGCTGCATTGTATTATTACAATATCTATTTATCTTATTATTCGTTGTTGCTATTTCTCTTGTAAGTCATTCCTAACTAAGTGTCTTATAAGTCTTAAGGAACATATGTTTTCAGTATTTTCATAGTTAAGGGCACGGGGATACGACTTTTCATTGTGCATTCCATTTTTGTTATCAGAGACAAGCCGCATGCTACGCAATAGATTTTTTCTTTTTTTTTTGGCTTCACGCTGTGAGTTAGCTGTGAATAATAGGATATTTTATCTTACAGATACTTCATTCTTTAAGCTAAGCACGGAAGGTCAGTAGTTGGGCATCAATTCCTGACTGTTCTTATATGATGGTTCTGATTACAGATTTTGCACTCATCGATTATGCAGATATGATATTAGCACTTGCTAAGGTTATTTTATTATTCTTCTGCATGTTCATATTATAGCCATCAAGTCGATTTGCCCTTCTTTTTCTCACCACCTAGTTTTGTCCCTTGATGTAAACATGAAAGCTTTAATTCTATCCAAGATCCCATAGTATAGTCTTTGGCCAACATCCATGCTTAACCACTTGAATTCTTGCCACTGCGATAAATAATCATAAAGATTTAATTGCATGCAAAAATTTGTTTTGCAAACTTGCTTAATGTATTGACACTATATGGACGTATAAGAGTAAAATGGATATGATTGTTACAATGAGCAAGGAATTACTTACAAGTAGAAAACAAACAAAGAAAAGCTTCTTGGACAGTCGAAATAAACATAATATGTATAGAATTATACTAAGTTTATGTAACCCTTCAAAATTGTAAATGGAAATGTTACTGCTTGAACCACATTTGATCATTTGGACTCTTTTTTTCTCTCTCCTGATCACTTAATCTCATCTTGTACGCTGTTATTTTTTTAATTTTGAAGACATTCTTTACGGTAATCTCTGAACAATTACTGCGAGGACACCAAGCCTGTCTGTTCGGTTGATTGTTGCATTAGGCTGTTTCCACTTTCCGTGTCAAGATTTCTTATCGTTTCCACAAACCCCCGAATTGATGACACTATTTAATGTGATCTCTCCACGGATCTTAGACTATCAACCAAACCAAGATGAAGATCCAGATGAGAACCTCGGAGTTGCCAAATCTGTAAAATTTTCGCAACCATGACCACAATTTGGTGCGATACAGCGCTTCCATTGCTGTACTCTGGCATCCTGCAACTGAATTAGCTAAAGGCCATTCTTCTCTTTT